TCAGGGGGTGAACTATAAAAGGGGGGTTAGTATTGAAAAAAAAAAAGTTGTACATACCAGTACTATCGAGGTACAACTGATTGCCACGTTTTTTTTTTTTCTTGAACTCCGATTAAGTAAGAGGGTACAAAAAAAAGTGCACAGGGTACATTCAAGTACTCAATGAGTACAATCCAAACCAACAAAAAAAAGTTAGATTTTTCAAACTTCGATGCCAACTTCACATAGCTATCATTTTTTCCTTGAAGCAATTAATTTTTCAATTGTTCTGGACATCCACGATGAAATTTCAAGGCTCAACTTAAATTTTTTTGTCTTTAAAATCGATTGTACACCATGACAACCCACATTTTCAGATTATACCGCCAATATTTCCGAAACGAATGAATTTAAAAAAAAAATGCTAGATAACTTTTTTATAGATAATTTCACGAGCTCCAAAAAATTCCCCCGGTATTTTTCTCTGAACCCCAAAGGCCTCAAGATATCGGGAAAATACGATTACTGAAAATTAATTTCATCTTCTAAAGACCTGCATTAAGGATTGTCTCAAGTGGTTGATGTTTGATTGGGCATCATGAGATCTACAAGTGGTACTCTCCCTTCAATTCACCACTTACGTAATCGTCAATTGAAATTAGCGACGACAGGTTCACTGTCCGGCAAGAATAGTAAACTCGTAAAATCGATCGGATCGATCTGCATAAAGAAGCGAAAACCCTTCAAGTAAACCAGGTAGTGAATAAAAAAAAAACCTCGCGAACTACCTGAGCTGATAATTTGCCGGATCCACTGAGCCATCGAAAAACTCAAATGAAATTTTCAAAGGAGTGAAATTGAATTTTTCCTCGTTCATTCAGTTCTCGAATGAATGAAAGAATAAATGAGTGAACGATATTTCGAATGAATCACCACAACGATTGCAGGAGCCCATGAATTATGTGGATTACGAGGCGTTCAGCTCATGAATGATTCACTCTGCACCGTGAATTTCAAATATTATGGATTTCTCATAACACGAAAATCGATAAAAATCGTAAAAACAAACACCATCAATACACCAGAATTTTTCGCCCCGCTAATCGGTCGATATCTCGCAAAGAGCTGAGTTTAGAGTAAAACCTCAAGGGAAATTTTTGTAGAGAATGAAATTTCCAAGAAAAAACTTCCTCTTGCGAATTTTCTCAATCCAATAATACCTGAGATAATGGCGAGGAAAGTCACAGAGGAAATTATGAAGATTTTACGAATTTTCTAAAGAACACCCCAGTTTCTCTGGACTCTTTTATTCACCCCCATTGTCCTCACAATCGATTATCAATATCATCACATGCTGAAACCAGCTGATGTCTGAATAATGAGACCAAGCCCTTGCCATAAAATACCGAAAGTATCATGCAAACATCAGCCCAAAGAGCGAAAAAGAAACTCCCTTCACACTTCAGATATCTTTCTAATTATTACAAAACGAGTTTAATGTTCGTTAGGTCAGCAATGAATCACGAGTTGGCAAAAAGTTAATTAGAGTGAGCTACTGTGCTGTACCTCTGGCAATTAAAATCCTAACTGGAACAATTAAATGGAAAAGAAAGAGTTCTATTGATTTCTAAAGCTGTAGAAAAGTCAATCGTCTATATCTCCCGAGACAATTATTTACGAGAGAACATCAAAGGAACTTTTTTGTAGGCAAATCATTTCTCCACAAAAAATTCCCCTGAAATTTTCCTCTAAAGCGAATACCTCCCAAAATATTCGCCATAATACTCCATCTTCCATTAAATCGACTAGCCTTAATTAATTATTTAACCATCACTATTGTGTTTCAATTTAATTCTGTTGGATAAACAATTCACTCAGAATTTTTTTCTCAAAGTATTCAATGGACTGAACTCGAGATTTTCCTGACTGACAATTTTCTGAGTGCAGTTTGCCCCTCAATTTACTAGATTAAAGTCAACAAAATGTCGATCGACGTCAGCGATGCATCCTGAAATGATTAAGGACCTGGATTTCAGCCAACAATTTCCCCCCAACTGACATTGAATGCCTCCAGGATTCCCCTCTAGATTCACGATGCAATTTGCTCCCCCAAAAATTCAACAGATCACTCTTAATGACAAAACGATTGAGCACACCCAAGAAGATGCAACCACTCAGATACTGAATAAATAACCTTGCCCACAGGAAGTACAACGCCATAAAAGTGTTACATGTGGAGGACTATTACCTCTGGAAATGAGGGAGAAGGGGACATCGATGATGATGCGATTCTACGCACGATTTCTTCAGGGGAAATGACCTGATAAGTTTTAACAACTCGTTTGCCATTTCGATTGATCCAACCATTCCCTAAATATTTTCCACGATTTCATTCGCTGATTTCATTGATTATAATTTCTATCAATGGACTAATTATCGAATATCTCATTGATCTATTTATCTCTTGATCTCTGAGAATAGAAAAATATTGGAAATGGAGGGAGAAGGAATTTTTTAAATATCCAAATTACCCGAGATTAATTGATATTTGAGTCTTACCTGTCGTGTGTCACTGGTTTCGCCGAAGTATTCAGGATCATGCTGCTGTTCGCCAGTGATCTTTCGTCTATCATCACCCATGTTACGGTCCATCGAATCGAAAACATGGACAGCCGTATCGGCCTCAGCCCCGCAATTAAAGCTCTGCCACTGGTTGATGCTGATGGATGTTGAGCCGGCTTCCTCACCGGGCTCTAGTGCCTTCGTAGACGACCTTGGCTTCGCCACGAAGAGACGCGATATCGCACTCCACATTCAACGCACTAATCACTAATCACTAAGTTTTTCTCCCTCTAACACTTTATGTCACTTTATACCATCATTTCTTCATCAACCGTATGTTTTTATGCTTTATGATACCAAGGATCCTCTCGAGGCCGAGACAGGTTTCAAGGACGACTAATCCCCGATAGCATCCATTTCACTGAAAATATGCCTGATATTATTCATTGAACTCCAATTTTTTATTCGTCATATTCAATTTAATTCGCGAAAAACAAATTATTCGAGCATTATTATCCCTCTCAATTAATTCCTGGTTTTATTTATTTTAAAGATTGAAATTGTTTTTAATTGTGCTAATTATCAACTGGTGGAGTTGAGTTGAATATTTGGGAAAGATATTTTTTGTTTATGAGGAAAACCCTGTCAAGGGTTCAACGTGACTGTCCAAATGCCTGAGTTATTTTCTCCTTCACTATTTCACTGAGGAAGACACTCCGGAAGAGGTGACTCACGAAAACTAAAATTGAACGCTCCGAATAACCCAAATATCATAACTCAGTTTCCAGAGAGAATTTTTACTGTTAAAGTACCACATGAAAACACCAAACTTCGAATCTAGTCTGATATTTGCGACCTTGAAGATCCCGAATGGTGATAACCATTTCCGATCGAAATAAAGCAAATACCGAGTGACTATTCCCGGAATCGTAGATATTAAATCACGAAAAACTGCGGAAATCTAAACAATATCCCCCAAAACAAACTTAATAAATTTCCTCACTCGATAAATTATCTCCCAAACCCCTGAGTTAATAAAAAAAACGTTAGAATCCTTTTTTGTAGACCAGAAAAATCCCTTCAAAAAGTTTCCTCCAACATTTTCCCTAAACCCAAAACCTCTCGCGATAATTAAACAACAAAAATTGCAAACAATTTCGAATAAATCCAGGAAATTCCGAAAATCCTCAAGTATCTCAAAACCACTCGATTTATCAAAAAATTGTACTGGACCTTTTTTGCAGATCATAAAATTCCCCCAAAAAAATTATTTTTCACGTTTTTCCATAGCCCGAGAGATTCTCGAGATAATTCACTTGGAATAAAGAAAAACCCATGAAACCCCATCCATCGAATCCAACCTCAAAAATCTCACCCCCTCAACCCGCCTCCCAGCTACCCCCTCATTGTCATTACACCCCCAACACCCCTAGAACCACTAAAACTCAAAACCCTCAAGAAAACCATGACCCCCCAATTAATCCGAAAACAATGGGATGCAATGTGAGTGCACCTCTATCGATTTTGCGCCCAAACGGAAAGTGGCACGATTCCACAATAATTCCATGATGTTGGAGTGAAATCGAGATGCCCCCTCCCCCCGAGACAATTAGAACCAAAAAATAAGATGCAAGCCCCCAGATAACGATGAAAACGCCCGGAAAACCATGGAAAAACGTGATAAAAGGTTTATTGACGTCGAGATAATCGCAAATGGGCGTACCTGTTTTCACGAGCGATTCCTGGTGAGGATTGGCCCCGAATTCTCCGGCAAATCCTCGACAACAGCACTAAATCCAGAAAGAGAAAAACTCGGAAAACTAGGAAAACTGGCTTGATTATTTGTCACTGGAATTCACTCGAGATCACTGAATTTTTTAGGAACAATTTGTTTTACTCATTGGCACTTTTCCTCGTTAAGACACTGCACTGTTGTTTCACGAACACTTGGCACCAAAACAAAAGCCGATGGACAATATTTGAGGTCGATTATCCCGGTTGGCTTGAGAGGCAGGATTTTTATTTTTTTTTTGGCTTTTTGGGTTCTCTGGGGAGTCAGAGTTGGATGGTCAGGATGGGATATTCCGAGGTGAGATACTCCATCATCACCGCACGTTCGCCGACCATCGCGATGAACGAGAGGTGAAATCGATTTATCGAACGGCTTTGCGAGGGACTTCAGAACGGTCGGAAAGTATGTACTCCTACCTCTAGCCTTTCCCAGCGACTGACGCCATCTTGGAGGGTTGAGTGGTACCTCACGCGCAACGAGGTGCGCGCGCAGCGACAGACTGGTGGGCTTTATTCAAACTGGTCGGGAAATTTTTAAAAGATATTACTTAAACAAATATCAATACACACAGAGGGAATTTAATTCTGGATTGGTAGATAAAAATGTGTCCGGTGAATTAATAATTAATTAAAATAAGTGATCGTGACGAACGTTTTAATTAATTCCTTTAATTCGTTCGCTAGCATTTTTGTTGAAAAAGTGATATATTTGACACCACACATCGAACGTATTTACATAATATATGTACAGTGATAATAATTAAACATTAAATCAAACAATCAATTAAAATTCTTATCCTACACATTTGCATTGAGTCGTCATCGGCACAGATTAATCGTAAAAAAATCTTAGAGTTTATACACAGGAAGGTACTTAAACACGATTTTAGAAAATACATAGTCTCCGGTTGAGAAATGAGTCACGAATGGGTGCGAGAGAATCACAACAGAATATTGTAAACATCATGAGTAAACGTAAGAAATTGACGAATCTTCTCATTCCACTATTGAAAATACAGTAATTGGCGACTGTCAATACATTCCACCCATTTGACAGCTAGTAATTTTCTCATTTTCAATGCGTTATTGTTGATTGAGACGTCGACACTAGTGGAAACATGAAAATACCATCACGCGCATTTGCCCTCTCTCCTCTCCTGAATATCATCATCCTCTCATGAATATTTTGATTACTCCGAGGTGTGGAATCACTGAGATATGCATGAGTTTTTTTTTCTCTTGTTTTTCATTTGTGTTTCCCCTGCCACAAGCCCATTTTTGCGTTTTTCCCAATTGTTCAATTATCTCGGAAACACCTCTTAAACAAAAAAATTGTCGAGATTTTTTTGCGGCCATTGAAATTTCCCAAGATTTTTATTAAAAAAACCAACAATTACGAACGATTTTTAATCGTATCTGTAATAGGTCTCGTACTTGCGCGAATACCTCGATAAGGACTGGTCTGAGAGAAAAGTTCATTGAACCTTTTTTGCGGGTCATAAAATTTCCATCAAAAACTTACTTCAATTTTTTTCACCTAGATCCAGCTGTTCCCGAGATAATTCCATCCGAATAAAAATTCAACAGTTAAAATCACGAAGTCAGTGACATCCACAGCTCTTTACCACCATGTTCTTGTACTTCTTAAGAATAACATTGCTCTCATCGAGAAAATATAGTACAGATATTGCTGAGAGTTTAGTGGGTGCGCAGCATGGCTTTGGTACCTTTCCTGGATTAACCAAGTGCACAAGTGTCTGTACAATTGCATGATTCGTTGCATTCATGTGTGCATTCAACGGGAAATTGCACTCGCCACTGCAGTAATAAGCGTCGTAGCCATCCGGCGCTATAATCCAATCCTGGAAAATTGAATATTCATAATGTGTCACGTGTTATCGATTTTCCATTACTATTTCTCTTCATTTGATCATTAATTCGATATTCAGTCTAATGAATTTTTTTGCTGATTAAACCGAATTAATTAATGGCATTCTTCATTCCATTTTCGATACTAATGAGTTCTCATCACGAGGAATATTTAATTGATGAGAATCCATCGATCAAATCATTTCAGGCCCTGAATTTCATCTGGAATTTTAGAATTTGATAATTTTTTATTAAAAATATTCACCTGCCACTGGAGATCTCTGAAGCTGACATACAACGTCTGGATTTTACAAGTTCTAGAGTTGTACTGAATCGCTGGATCTTCAAAAAACATAAAATATCAATTATCCTAATTATTTCAATAATTAATACAATGATTTTTGCAGTAAATCGAATTTATTTCGAAATTTTTATTGTAGAAATTCGCGGATATCCTCAAAACCATTGACTTTACAAAAAAAAATTGCTAATACTTCCGCAAGAAAATGAGATTGCCTATAAAAATTGTTTAAAAAATTTTTTTCTCCACCCAACAGCCCGCGAGATATTCAAGAAATAATCAGCGATGAGTTCAACCTGTTAACGCGGTTATTCGGAATGATTTATTTATTAATGAATTTAATGATTAAAAAAATGATTAGGAGTCATTACCTGTGTAAGGATTTCTGTAATCCAAACTGGAGGCATCACTCTTCTTTTTCCTTCTGGCATCTCTTTTCTGTCTGACTTTTTTCTCACGTACCCCAGAGCTCTTGAAGAAACCAACCATGAAGGGCTGCTTGTCGGCATCACCACGGAATCCTACGATTCCAACATCTTCCGGTCTCATTTCATGAACTGCAATCACCCAGAATTAAATAACAATGATTAATTTTTTATTCACCAATGCGATAACGATTTTTGTCTGGCGATTATTGCAGTCTAAAGTTTGAATTACGGTTTGTGAGTCTGAGAAACCTCACGTGCTTGGATATTAATAGCACAACCTTCATGAATTATTCATTCTTAAGGACTATGCCATTCACTTCTAATCGTCAAATCACTCGCTAATCGATTTCCAGTTGTTGATTTCCCTCGGATTATCACGCCCACATACGATTTCTCCGGAAAACGTCACGGCCCTTCAAAAAGGGCGTAACAACCACCTCTCCAAGACCTTCCTCCAAAGCGATTCACGATTTACACTCGCAAATTTAATTATATTCAATTAAATCAATTAAAATCGTCAGTCAATCATCACATTTCATGAGAAAATTCATGGAAACCGATTTAAAAAATTCAAAACATCTGATGATTATTCGATCGATAGACCTGAATTAACAAATAAATAAATCCTTCAATCAATTGATTAATTAGTAAATAATTAACAATTTGGCGTAATTATGATGACAAATAAAAACTGAAAATATAAAAAAAAGGTAAAAATCGTGAAGATCGTAACAAGAGTTTTCCCATTGAGTTCCTGGTGATGATAAATTCTGATGGAGCCTCCAGGTACACAAGTTGGACAGGCAGTCAGGTGTTTGCAATCACGGTAAATGCGCATTCCTCGGAGGCAATTTACTAGCTTTCACGTTATACTCGACTCCTCGTGGCCTCTTCGAGTCATTTGAATATACACCACACGTGTATATATATATTACCAAAGGTATCCCACCATTTCCCCACCCCCAGAGAGTACATCTCGTTTCTTATTTTACTCCCAGCAACCGTCCATTCATCGATCCCCACATTTCCAATATTCCACATTTCCATCCACACCATTCCCCGGCATATCTCCCCACCCACCGACCCCACAGCAAAATCATATCCAACTTTTTCACGCAAAATTTTCTCCTCCACAAAAAAGGTTATATGACATTTTACCGTACCACCACTTATTGCTGAGATAATCACGAAATTAATGAGCGCAGACTATAGCGATTTGAAATTCGCGTTATAGGTGGATTTCGAATTTTTTAGTGATTTTTTAATTGAAAAATGGAATTAAAAATGGAATTAAAGGGTGGTGTTGGGGTGGGGAGATCCCTGAGGATGAGGTGGAGATGATTTTTGTGTGATGTGGGGAATATGAAAGAAATAGTTTATTACCGCTTAAATCATTGATAAAAAGTTGTCCCTCAAGTTTCTCATGACTCGTGGCCTCTCCTCTCCTTCAGAGGCCCCTCTAGATCCCTCTGGTCAACCGGTTTACCTTTGATCATTCAATATAACGAGATATCGAAGTGTTGTATATCCCCGCGATGTAAATATCATATATACGGTTACTAATACATTAAATGCGAGTAATTGTGATTTTCTGGTGATTGTCGTTGGAGGGGATTTAACCCTCGAACCCCAGCATATCATCATCTCCGAGGGCTTTCTGGTACCTTCAGAGGTTCTCTTCATGAGACTCTTCAGGGATCTCTGCAGATTTTCTGGTGAGAACGTTAGGTCTTCGGTTTTATTTTTCTTTTCCTGTTGCAGACCTGGGAAATTTCCGCAGTTCTCGCTTTAACGCCTTTCGAAAGCAATCCTGTTTTTCAAAGTACTGGTCACACCTCTCTTTGACACCCACACACATTCTTATCGGGATAAATCGGTTTTTTAATGATTTTTAAGAATTATTGTTGGTGAGGGCAGTCAGGATTGTTGAATTAATTCGGGAATGAAGAGATCTATGGGAAAATAGTAAAGAACTTTTTTGGAGAGGACGGAATTTCCGGGAAAAAATGTCTATACGCTTTTTCTCATTAATTTATTCGATTCCGAGATAATTAGGCTAATGCCCGGAGAAAAAAATCACTAGGATTATGCAAATTGATTGTGAGACCTCAGAATTGCTGAATTATCTGCAGAATGAGGGGTTTTACAAGAAAATGTTGAGAAACATTTTTATAGAGCAAGAAATATACTAAAAAAAAAATCTACTCACATTTTCTCCTCAACCCGCCTATTACCAAGATATTTCAAGAATTTCGTCGCTAAGAAAGAAAAGTCAGAGCGAAAAATGATTTCACTGTGATTTTTTAATGAATGGGGACAATTAGGAGGTGGGGGTAATTATTCCCGGTGGACTTCGACCGGAGATTAATAATTCAACTTGAATTTTCGATCCGAGGTCATTTCAACAGGTGTATCCACTCCCTCTTATCATATCGTAAGATCGGATCTTCGACGAAAACCGAGTCACCTGTGCCACCTTGGGAATCCCCCCCGGGGATTCTGATCCTCTCTTTGAATTTTATCTGAGAGAAGTCATCTCTGAGTTATACTGACCCCATCTTCCCCCATTCCCCATTTTCGCAAGAGCTATTGTCTCAATTTAAAACCTAAACTCATTAAAAAATCAGATCTCTCATAAAAAAAAATTAAATCACAATTCCAACGGGAAATTATCTAAACAATTTATCAATTACTCGAATGGCCCAATTATGGAATTGATTAATTAATGAAACAATCAGTGAATGCACCAAATGTCGTTTATATAAATTTCTATAAAATATTAATAATTATTCCAAGTGAGAATAATTTATTATAATTAATAGGTATTTGTATTTTTGTCAATTTTATATACGTCGCACGAATTCGTTGGGATGATATGTCTTTATTATATATTTTTACATGGAGATGTCGAGATTTTTTAACAAACAACTTTGCACTAATGATCATTGTAATGGCAGTGAATTTACCAGTAAAATGATCACTCAGCCACCGTGTGACTAGGTAATGATCACCTGAGAGATTGATTGATAATTTTTCAAATGACCGGAGGAAATACCGATGATTCTTTAATAGGAACGTGTCACTCGGCATTACGAGACGATTATATTTATTCTCAGGATATTGTTTACTCACCCGAACGATCTGCTGGATGAACTGACAAGTAAAATCCTCGATTGCCTTCTGGATTGTTTACCCAGTGGACCAGGGGTTCTGTCACGTTGAGAGTCAACCAGCCTTCCTTGTTTGTCGTCGTGTTAACAGAGTCCACATATTGTAATTCCTTTGTTCTTAAAAAATAAATCATTATTTTAAATCCAATGAGAAGAATAATCCTGAGTCATTAATTGATTCCTCTTGATAGGTATCGAGGAGTTGAATAAAAATTCGATGAATTTCTATAAAGTAAATTTTTTTAATTTTTTAAATTATTTTTTTTTTCAATTATTTTATTTTTAAAAATTTTCGAAGGACAAAAGAAATTATTGAAATTCAAAAATTTTAAGAAGCTGGAAACGGTACTTCGGAGCTATCCCAACTCCTAGGAATTAACCGTCATTTTAACGTCCCTCTTCGTCTCCCTAATTAGCCGGTCCTCTCCTGAACCCTGAGAAAGATATTTAAGAGTCTACCTGCGCCCCAAAATCACCAGAAATTTATTTTCCATGACTCAGATGTTTGTCTGTCATCCTGATCGTTAGTAAAATCGCTGAAAAACTTTTTTTTTTCGCTTTCTTTGAATTTTCCCCGTTAAAAATTGCACAGGAAATCGTCATTCCACAAATTGAGATGAATTGAACGAGTAGACAGTGTCTCTGAAGGTAGAAATTACATTTGTCCTACGCAGTTAAGACTGGAGAGCAAAATATGACGCATCAAGTCTTGTTCACTTAATTCCACAATTTTTTTCTCTTACTCATACCGATTTTCTCGCTCCCGAGACCAACTGGCGACAGTTGAAATTAGTTTTATCAAGACCTGTTCTTCAATTTCACGATACTATTTATTCAGTTATTTATTTTCAATATAATTTATTAAAATCGCTCTTCTGAATCGATAGATTATAATTCCGACCTGATTATAAACAATTATCGATCATCCGTTATTATTCGATAATTTTATCTACTCATGATCAATTAATTGGGCAATTATCTTTCATAATTAACGAACCTAAATAAATAAATGAACAATTGAACGAATGAATTTAATCAATTTATCATCTCCGGTAATTAATTAAAAGTTGATTAGTTAATCGTTGAATTATTTTTCGTCGACCGAAATGCCTAGAATTGGGGGAATGAGTAATTATCGAAATAATTCAGATTGCAAAATTCCATTGAATAGCTGAAACCCGCGGTTACATCCAAGAATAGACACTTGAACGCACAATTCATCGAGTGGAGCGGAAACGTCTAAATCGAGAATTTTGCGTATTTCCAATTGCATTTGTATCTAAAGTAGACGAGATTTCAGATAATTAATCAATGATTAATTAAAAAAAAATCTCCCCCACCAAATGAGTGTATAAAAAATAAACGCGTCAAACAAAATCAGAAAAAAAAAACCGAAAAAAAAATGAAAAAATGGGAATTAATTGCAAAAAAAATATTAATATTCACCATTTTCCATTTTTCCATTATCCCCAATTATTTCTTATATAAAATTCAATATTTAAAAAATTAAATCAAATTGTTGATTGATTCAAATGAATTCCGTGGATTAATGATTTTAATGGTAGATATTTGAATTTTTTTTGTTTTAATTTGAGGATTATTTGAGTCATGATTTTTAATTACCCATCAGCAGTTCGGAGTACTCGGTACGCGGTGATCATGAAGGAGCCCCTGTTTCTCCGGTGTTTCACCTCCATTGTGCGATAAAGTCGCAATTCTCCACCAATAATATTCTCTTCCGGTGGTACCTCCGATAAATCGAACCACAGCCTTTTCCCACGCTCGTGACGTACCCCAGGAACATGATGATCTGAATAAAATAAAAATAAAAACAATTTAATCATATAATAAATAAATTACAACTAATTCAAAAGCTCTCCAAAGTGTACGCTTCCACCGAACTCCTCAAATAAATAATTAATCCACCGACTCAACAACAATAAATTTCCATCTAAACAAATTATAATTCTCTGACATAAATTTCCAAAAATTCTGAAAACCGTTAATAAATTCTCGGGAAAAAAAAATCCCGAGGCCCAACGGACCCATTTCTCTCCCCAACGAGACATTGATTTATCCGTGCCCCCCACCCCGGTCCCAATGAAAAATCCTTCAATTAAAAAGTCAAAGCCAGAATAAACAACGTCGAGGTGAATAGTAAGAGTCCCTAATCACATAACGAGCTGTAGAGGATTCGCAGCGTGAAATCGTTGGAGGCCATTCTCCAATTGCTCTCTACCTTCGGAAAACATTTTTTTTTTAAAAAAAGGGGGGGCCCGCGGATTGGGCTCCCTCGGGTGCCAGGGAGTCCCTTAAGTAATGCCTAATGTTTCAACCTTCGGATAAAGCGCACAAAATACCTCTTATAAATGTGTTGGTGGTATTTTTTTTTAGGCATCGTTTGGTTGTTTCACTTTTCTTTTTTGTTTCTCCTTTGGTCCCAGGACGGTCGCATTCTTCCAGAGGCACCTGATTGCCCTGGCCCCGGAACGCACTCGGGGTGGTCTCCAATGCTCTGGCCCCCGGGGACTTACGGACCCTCCGCAATATCTTTTCTTTGTTTTTACCGTCCTCCCCCTTCCACCCCCTCCTTTGTCTGATTCATAAATTGATAAATACAAATTCTGGGATTTATTGAAAATAAATTTATCTGAAAAATGACATCTACGAAAAAAATCACCTGTCAGGGTTAATCTCTCTCGATCCCTTCATTTTTATTTAATCGTGTTGATTGTTTATCATTTATTTTCATGGTTGTTTTATTATTTCTATCAAGATCATTAATTATTCACCTGAATTTTCACTTTCAATCGACCTTCATCAATTTTATAAATCCCATAGAAATTATTGCAAAATTATTTCTCAATGATTAATAATTGTGAATGGATCATTTTCGTTTACGAATTTTCTTCCGCTGAATAATAATAATCAAAAAAAATGAGTTTTTTAATTAATTTCGAAACATCTGGTAATTGAATGACGACGGGTGATTGTTATTTCAGATGATTTTTTGAGAATGATTTTTTGAGAATTAATTGTAGATCTTTGGTACATTCTCACCGCGAAAATAAATACACGTGATCTTTTGTGAATTTTATTACTCCTTTTTTTCCACCTGGGGCTCTCGGTAATTTATGACCCAACGAGGGAGAGCCAGAGGAATTGGGGGATCCACTTTGCGTGTGCGTTTGGAAATAACTCAATTTCAGGGTGATATCTATCAGTGATACCGCAAAAGAGAATGAAGTCATCAAGTACATCGTTTACCTTTTACTACTCAAGAAATAGACTAAAAAATTCATTTGAATTTTGCGAAACGCTCCTGGCACTTTCTATTCTAAAACAAAACCGCGGGGATTTAATAAAAATTGGAATGAAGAACGCAAACGAGCGAATTTATTCGATATTTCGAATGCTAATTTACAACTTCTCAGAACCTGGTGGGTATCGCTTATTTATGCAGTTTTTCTTCAGAAATTTCCCAGTGTTTTCTCCCTCACAACTTTTACTTTTCACTTCTCAACTTTCCCCCTCCAATTTCCCCAGGAAAACTGCGATTTTTTAAATTTTCCAGATGAACGAAATGTCTAGAGCTGATTTTGAATAAAAATTCAAAACCAAATTGAACTGTAGGTAATTGAGAATAAAATCGCAATTGGGATTGGAATTTCGCAAAATTTCCACGAGTGATTGCCTAGAGGTTTTGATGTAATTTTTAAAAGTTTCAATTACCAAAAATAAAAAGAACTTACTGTGCGCCTGGAACGTCATGATGACATCGCTCTGGTCGATGGCCCTGAGATCCTGACCCGTGAGGTCGAACTCACCGTCGCTCTTGCTCCGGCTCACGACCGGTTTCTCATCCTCACCCAGTGCATTTTTATAAATATCAAGTAGAAACTTTGGCGCTGACCTCTTAACCTGGGGCACTTTACCAACGGTACTCCTGGGCCTGTCCGGTAGCCCAAGTAGATTAAGAATCTCATGCTCAACTTCGCGCTTCTCTCGCTGCGTCACAACCCGATGTACCACCGTCTGATCCTGTCCATTATCAACGTAAAGACCACTTGTCCGACGTGCCCGCACCCCATCCAGATCAATAATCAAAACACCAACAATTAAAATCCACAGATTCATCTTCGTACCAATTATTTTCATTTTCACTTTCACTCCACGACAGCGAGGGAGGAAGAGCCCTCACTCCCTCACTCACTTCACTTCACCGATCAATCAATTTTACCGATTACCCAGGACAATTAACAACTTCCTTCTCCCGGGGAAATCAATTTGTGTCTTTAAACAATAACTATCAATAAAAATCGGTTTAAATCGGTTGGAAATCAGGGAAAATCGGCAGAGATCGGTTGAAAAAAATCGGTTGAAAAATCGCTATTTCCGCGTGGTTTTTTTTTTACACTTGGATTTTTTGGAGACCTGGGGATGCCCTCGGGTGCTCTCGGACCGATCCTCCGGAGTGCTCCGGTGCCTGGAGAACGAATGGGGAACGCCGACTCCGAGAGATTCCCGCATCCAGTTTTGAACGCGCGCTCTCCACTCGGCTCTCACTCCGGACGTTTCGTCCCTTTCCGTCTATCACCGCCTCCTCCAGGAGCGTAACGAGATCCCCCAGGTGTTCTCCACCTTCAACTACCTGTCAATCCTCTCCGAGTGATTAATTTCTTTATTTAATTATTTTTGAATGGCGAAAAGCGGATTCTCTCGATTGCTTCAGGATTTTTCAGAGGAAACCACGGGGTCAGGGGTCCGGATGACGGTGAGGGGCACCTGATAGCCATGAGGAATAGGAATAGGACACGCCCCAGGAGGTGAGGAGGCGTGCACAAAAAATCGAGGATTCAAATTTTTTATCGGCATATCCTGCGATGGCGACTGACGATGGCCCACGGATTTCCTCAGGGTTTCAGGGGTTTCGCGATTCTCCTCAGGATTTTTTCAACCCCTAGAAGATCGCGTCTCGATTTCAAAAGTTTTTCATCCGTGGAGAATTTTTCCACGATTTGCGCAGGAGAAAAGGGAAAATTTGAATTTTTTTTCGTTTATCAGAGAATGGGAGACTTCAGGAACTCGGATTTATTTATTGATTTATTTTCAATTATTTATTTACGGATTCAACACATATTACCAAAATTGAAAAACGAAATTTATCGATTTATTATAATTGTTTATCATTTCATGGATCTCAGGTGTTCTAATAAATATTTTTGCAACTCCGAAATTCCTGAAATACAAATTTTTATAACTCAAAATCCAACAATTATTATGCAATTTTTTTTACTTGAAAGAATGCGATTGCCATTTCATTTTCTGATACAAAAAATGGAAAAAGCGGATATAGTCGATTGATAAAACTGGGAGTTGGCTTCATTAGAGTAATGAAATGTTTTTATTTCGAATGGATCGGAGAAGATAAACCTGTTGAGCCGAGAACAAGAGAAAATAAATAAATAAGAAAATCGGATGGCACATTGTGGGGGATAAGAGGGCGGTAATAGCCCCTGGGGCGAATTCCCAGTGGAACGGGTTGTCTTCGTTCATTGGAACGAGACTTGGAACTTCAGGTCTCGAATGAAGGACAGAGTGTACAAAAAATTGAGAAGAGGGAGATGAGGTTTATGAGAGAGAGCGTCAGGTGCCACTCGGTCTATAGTGGAAATACGAGAGGTGATGCCCTCCAGGCGAATTCCTCTTACGTCAACATTTCACGGAAATTTTTCTCTCTTCACTGGATCTCTCTCACGCACTCGACATTTTTTATCATTAACTTCTACTATTTAATTTAAACGAATCAATTGACTCCCGAAAAAGTTTCGATTTATTTTGAAAAATGTTGAATGATTTGGAGTGATTTTCACTGTTTCAATTCATCAATAAAAAAATGCCCAAGTGATTAAAGTGAGTGTCCCGAGTGTTTTTATTAATTAATCTCCTTCTATACACCTATGAATTACGAAATATTATGGAACATTAGTCAGTCTTATTTAACGTATTTCTCCATGAATTTCCGATGAAATTCACTCCTGAGTGAGTCATTAATGAAGACATCGTGTTTTTTCTTCGGTTCGGATCTGGCGCAATTTTTGAAAACGACATCGTCATCCCACCGTCGCCTGACCTTCATGTCACTGCGAGTGGCTTGAGCTGAATAATTCAACAGTGGATTCCCTGACAGAATATTCTCCATCCTGATCCTCTCCTCTTCCTGTCTCTTCTCCATTTCCTAAAACGACAAAACGAGCTCAACACGTGCTCCGTAACTCACGAATATCCCCAGAGTCACCCATCTGACAGAAAAACGTCAAAGGAATTTCTTGTGGCGAAAAAAATTCCCCACAAAAAATTATTTTTCATATTTTTCTCTGGAGTCAGTGGTTCACGAGATAATGGCTATTTTTCGTACCTTCTTGGCGTTGTCAGCAGCCCTCTCCTTCTTGATCTGCTGCAGCTCGGCGAGGAGTGCTGCTGTGTCATCCTCATCGCTGTCAGACCCCGAATCGTCCTCATCCAGGGGATCATCAGCATCGAGACTCGCTGCTGGTACCTGATCGACCTTCTGACGTTTGCTGGGCTGTGGTGGTTCCCTCGAGGGCTCTATCATTCGTCTGTTCGAGGATTTACTCGTCTTCTCGATTTCCCTCTCCTCAAGTTCTTTTCTGAAGTCTCTCGTGCGAAGTTCCTCGCTCGTCCCTTGTCCATGTTCCCTATAAATTCGAAATCAATCCACACCGAAGAAGCGCGAGAATAACAAATCATTAATCGTCAATTAATTATGAAAAAAATTACTCATTCATTTGAGGTTATGTACAAGACTTCCCTCAAGGGGATGAAGACTCGATTTTTTTTCCCAGATAATATGTCCAATATTAAAATTAGGAGAACTGGATTGAAATGTGAAATAATTGAAAGGAATAATGGGATAATTACCTGTATTTTAATTTCGTGTGTCCAGGCAAATCTCTGCTGCTGTATTGTTTGGAAATAGCACTGAGATCTTTTTCCCCACGTCCCTGACCTCCCCTGGCCCCATCGAATGTTGGTCTAGCAGCAGTCGACATTTTTCAAGAATTCACGCACTTTCTACTGTAATTTCGTTTTAATTAAATGCCTTCATTAACCGAAATGCTCCGAAACGCCAGAAAAATTATCCCTCAACAGCTGACGCATCACCGCCCCCTGGTGTCTCACCCCCCAAAAAAAAATAACAATAACAAAAAAAAAAGGCTAGAAAAATATTTTTTTGATTAAAAAATATATAATTCACATCTGCAATTGAGCCTTTCCATATTTTTCAGAAATTTTCCAAAAAAAGAAACGTCAGAATTTTTTTCAGTTTTCATCAGACGATAAAGAAATCCCCGGATTTCCATTCATTATTTTGGGTATAACTCTCGAACCGATGGATTTAGACAAAAATGTTATAAGAGTTTTCCGGGGAAAATTGAGTTTCGAATAAAAAAAGTAAATGAATTTTTTTTATAAAACCCGCCACTCCGAAGTTATTCGAGAAAATTCAAAATATAATTTTCGGCACCTGATAAGGTGGCGACCGTTTTGAAAATCATGAAGTCCACACACCTGTTAGCACTCCCCAGTGTTTGTACTCTTACACTAGTCAGCCTGAATCAGTGAATCACCAAACAATAAACTCAGAGACTGCACCAGGATCAATCAGAAATGTCTCGATTCACCTGGATTTTCCTGATTCTGTCGTCCTGCACAATAATTGGTGAGTAATTAAAAAGCTCTTAATGCCGGATTCATCTAGTTCATGATGGATCATCAATGTGCAATCTAATTATTGAGTTAACCTGCAGGCAACGCCCTAGAGTGCTACGTCTGCGAGCAACAGGAGGACAATACTAAAAAATGCCTGGAAACAATTGCTACCTGCGAGCACGAGCAGGACGCGTGTTTCACGGAGGTGAAATGGGGCAGTGAGTGTTTTAAGACCTTCTCGAGGTTTTCCCCAGGTTCTGGGCATTCCTAAAGGGTTCTTCAATTTTTTTTCCATTTTTTCAGGCACTCCCTACTGGTCTCCTGCTGCCAAGAAGCAGTACTACATCTCGAAAAAGTGCATGGCGAAAAAAGAATGCGAAAAAATCAGGAAGGCGAATATGCCTGATTGCACTTATCTGTGGTATCAGGACTGGAAGTGCTCCGAGTGCTGTCAGGGGGATCGATGCAACTATTACATTTTCGTGAGTTTTCCATAATTTTTCCTCGAATTTTAAGTTTTTCGTGTGAATGACTGGGTTTAGAGGAAAACGTTTAGAAACATTTTTGTGAGGATTTAAAGAAGATTAGTTCATGGTTTTAATTATTTGGTTTGATTTCCATTTGTTGCAGTCTGGAGCGAGTCAATTCACTTCCTGGAGTGCTTTGACGTCGATAGCAGTAATTCCAATACTCTGGAGCTGGATAAATGCTTGATGAAGGAAACTTCGGGGCTTTTGTAAAAATAACAAAAATCTTTTCTGCAGAGAATTAAATTCTCCGAAGGAAATTCATCTGAGATTTTTTACTAGCGCCACTCATTATAGAAATAATCGAGAAATTATGCCTTGATGAGTGGAGAGTCAATTATTTATGTGGGTATTATCTGTACTCCGTCCAAAATAATATTGTTTTTTATCAATTGTTCGAACAACAATCGATCTCGAATGTCCACTGCCTTCATAGCAGACCAATTATTTCAATTGAACTATTGAATTTTATTTCTGTGTTAATATCTTACACAAAACTTTTTTGAAGTACAATTTACAATTGGAAAAATCATTTCCAATTCTCCAAATGTTATTTTACTCTTGACCATCGACATTTACTTAGAGATAAGACTCATTAAATTTTACTATTTTATAATTATTAAGGCTTAATCGCACCTAGAGATCTAGCAATAAAATCCGTCCATAACATAATGATAACGTGCCTTACAAATTGTGAATAATCATCTTGATAAAAATACATAGACATGTTGAAATCGTTTAATGATTAATCAACTAAAGCCGGGAAACCCGTCTTATACACGTGGGATTACCCTAACAGAATTGTAATGCAATGGAATCTGTATTTGTACAATAAACTTCAATCAACTTTTTGTATTGACAGCGGCGAGATTTTTCACCACTCACCTGTATTATCACGTTCAATTAGGGCTTTAGAATTATCAAGTTTGAGATAACGAGCTTCGTTGAGACAATGTTAGTCCAGTCATATTGTATCCACGAGCCTTTTAACATCTCCGTTATATTTTTGAGCTGCCACATGTGAGAAATTATTCTGAATTATTTTAATTAATCCTATAATCATTCTCATCAAATATTTAATTTGTTTTTCAATGTCAAATTTAATTGTTCAACGCAATTCATTCATCAGTTATTCTGCAATAATTTTCTCCTTTTGAGTAATTGATTTCCGCTGCAAAAAAATTGATTGATTGCTAGTGGCTACTGCAATTATTAACCATAATTATTGTTCAATCTTCAAATTTTTATTATTATTACACGAAAGGAGAATTTGACGATTGAATAAATGAATAGTGAATAACCGAGGATTAAATAAATAAAAGGAGTTAGAGATAATTTTTTAACCTTTGATGGAAATGGTTATTAAAATAACTTCATTAATGACCTTGCACTCCATTAGTCCTTGTCTGGATCGGATTGTCGCAGTAATACCCCCAAAAATTCATAGTAGAAATTTCATTATGAACGAATTATTCTCTAGAAAATTTCCGATTTTTATCTGCCGATAAGATATTCATTTACGACTCCCTTCTCTAATCGTCTTCATTTAAACAAAAAATTTAGTCTCGAGTAGTTTTATGTCTCACGAAGTCTCACGGACTGCCAATAATTATAAACAATTACGGATTGAAATTACTGCAGAGAATTCCTCAGGTAAAAATTTACAGATAAAATTTTCTATAACTCAATAAAACGCGGAAAATATTGATTTCTGGTGGAAACGTGTGGGAACTTTTTTGGGGTTTATTAAATTTTCGATAAAAAAGGTCTTTTGATGTTTCCTCCTAAAATCAATAATTTTTTAGATTAATCGATATTCCCAGGGACTGTGAAATTCCACTCGTATTTTGCACATTGGCAACCGAATTTTCTCCGTAATTTTCTTTTCTAATTTTTTTTTTCGTGTCTTTTTTAATCAGTCGGTTGACTGCTCTATTTTGATTGCTTACAAAGTTGCGAGTGAATTTTAAATGGAGAGGAGACAGAAGAGACAATTCAATCGAATCTACTTAGTCTATCAATTGAATCGTCTGTTGAGTGTCACAGACTGGATTTTCAGTTTCACGAGTGTCTCAGAAGAAAAAAGTCCACTCCACAAATTATTTCTAAAAAAAAATCAGAAATCGCCGGAAAAATACTGATAAATCGATCATTACCGATTAAATAAATTCCATAAATTTTTCCACGTTCCCTTTTAATAACTGAATAAAAAAATAGAATAATAGAAAAAATTTTGTGGAAAGAATTGAAAATGGATATAGATTTGAAGGAATTTAGGACAGTGAGTGGCAGTTGAATTCTAATTTTCCCGATTAATTGATTATAAAATGATTTTTTAGTTGTGAATTGATTGGATTTCTTGTATCGAAGGTCCTGGGCACCGCCGGCAAGATGCAAGTAACCGATATAATAAAAACACTCGTAAAAACATTTACGAGAAAGAAAATGGTAAGTGCGGCAGGGGAGTCTGGCCTAGTCCGATGTTTATCCACTTTGGACTTGACAGCCCTAGGAATAGGCTCTACCCTAGGAGTCGGTGTCTACGTACTCGCTGGAAAAGTAGCTAAAGATGTTGCCGGACCGGCTGTCGTCATTTCCTTCGCTATTGCAGCAATTGCCTCAATGTTCGCGGGTAATTACTCACTTAAACAAGCGCGAAAACCAAATTCGAAAAACTAGATCTCAAATAATTCCCGATATCTCATAACCCAGGAAATTTACGGAAAAATGCGATAAGAGATTTTTCGTGGAGAATTGCTTTCCCCCCAAAAAATCTTATTCACTTTTTTTTCTAAGTCCTCTTTTTCGAGGGCTAAGGAAGAAAAATGTGATGAATTTGCTTCTCGATTTTCTAGGTCTTTGCTACGCGGAATTCGGGGCCCGAGTGCCCAAAGCTGGTTCAGCCTACGTTTACAGTTACGTAACAATGGGAGAATTCATAGCTTTTTTAATCGGTTGGACCCTAATCCTGGAGTACATAATTGGTTCGGCGAGTGTCGTCAGAGGCCTAAGCACTTACGTCGACGCATTATTCAACAATTCGATGAGAAATGCCTTCGAACATGCGGCGCACATTCAAGCCGATCATTTCTCACCGTATCCGGATTTTTTCGCCTTCGGAATAACCATCGTATTCTCACGTACGCAATGAATCAATTGAAAAGTACGAACGATTAATTAAATAACTCTTTTTTTTTTCTGACAGTGGCATTGGCTTTCGGAGCTAAAGAGTCATCCCTGGCCAACAACATCTTCACGTTCGTCAACTTGGGAGTGGTTTTGTTTGTTATCATCGCCGGGAGCTTCAAAGGTTATTAATTAATTCATCAAAATTAATTTGTTTAATGATTCGATAAAAAGTGCCGCTTCACAGACTTAGAAGAGATTTAGAAGCGAAATTTCGTTCGTTCAATTTCGTTAAATATCTATTCATCCAGCGGAAATACAGAATTTTTTGTAGATACATTTTTTGTAGCTTTCACTCGCCCCTACAAAAGTGGTCATAACGAAAATTTCGGTATCTCTCATAAATTTTAAGATAATCCCTGAGTTGCAGTAGAATTCACAATTTTAATTATTCTAATTCCAATTTTTGTAATTGTTTAAATTATTTTTTACCTTTCCAGCGGACGCGAAAAATTGGAAGCTGGAGAACCCGTGCCCGAAAGGTGGTGACGATTGCCCCAATGGAATCGGTGGATTTGCTCCTTTCGGGATATCCGGGATCCTGACGGGTGCTGCGACCTGTTTCTACGGTTTTATCGGTTTCGATTGTGTGGCGACAGCCGGGGAAGAGGCTAAGGATCCCAAGAAGTCCATTCCCATTGCCATCGTGGCATCCTTGACAGTCGTCTTTCTGGCGTACTTCGGTGTTTCCACAGTTCTTACAACTGTCATACCGTATTACCAGCAGGACGCAGACGCTCCATTTCCCCACTTGTTCGATACCATCGGATGGAGTTGGGCCAGGTGGATGGTGTCCATTGGGGCCATCTGCGGACTCTGCTCCAGCCTCCTCGGTGCAATGTTCCCACTGCCGAGGGTCATTTACGCAATGGCCAATGACGGACTCATCTTCAAGTGGATGGGAACTGTCAATCCTAGGTTCCATACACCCCTCATGGGCACTTTGTCAGCTGGACTTTTGACAGGTTAAATTTCAATTAAAATAATTGACAATTACCCAATTACTTCTCTTTTTTCATTGATTAATGAAATCGAAAAAATATTTCAGGGGTTCTAGCTGCGATTTTCGAGCTCGGACAATTAGTCAATATGATGAGCATTGGAACTCTTCTCGCTTACTCGATCGTTGCGGCCTGTGTTTTAATTCTCAGGTGAAAAATCAGCTGTCAAAAATTTTTCCAGTCGATTTTTTATTCAATTGCGTCTTTCCAGGTATGAGGAGAGTGAGGCATACGAAAAACGAGACAATAGGGAGCCAAAAACTTTAGAATACACATTAAAACAGCTGTTGAATCTGAATAATCTCCACATGTCCACGAAATTGACGAGTCGAATCGTCAGTTGGCTGGTCTTCGTCTACGGTAAATCCTCTCACCCCCCAAAAAATCAATTCAAACGAAAAACGATTTTTTTTTCTTCCAGTCATTTTGTGTTTCTGCACAACTGGAATCATCAGGACCTTCTCCGGAGAAATAATGAGAGGAAAAGTCTGGCCAATTATTCTCCTCGTAGTTGTCCTGAGTTGTCTTGCAATTGCAGTTCTACTAATTCATCTTCAACCGAAATCCGAAAAAAAACTGAACTTCTCGGTGAGTATGAAATATAATTGAGACGAATAATCCGACTGAGGATTAATTGGCTTGTTGTTAAAATAATTATCAGGTACCATTAGTGCCATTCCTCCCAGCCATCAGTATTCTCATCAATATCTACCTCATGGTGATGCTGGACATCATGACCTGGATACGATTCGTCGTGTGGATGGTTTTAGGTAAATTCGAATGCTCCCGCAAATTATCGGACTCTATTATTTTTCATTTCGATCTTTTCAGGTCTTTCAATTTATTTTTTCTACGGCGTATGGCACAGCACCCACAGAGAAAATTCCACGAGCTCTGAGACGACGTAACAAATACTCTGTAAATACTCTGATAAATAAACTATTTGACATTCCTGTAAAAAATGAGGATGACTCAAATTTCGATGGAACAGATTTATTAATTTTCATTAAACTCTGAGAAAAAAACTCTTCTCATTCGATCGAGTGTACAACAAATATGAAACGGAGAAAATAGATTATATATTCTTAAGTGATAATCAGGTCTCAGGTACCAGCTTCTATCGTTAATATATCTCCAGTGATGTCTATTTCGTGCTTGCACTGGAGATTGAAAAGCCTCGAATACTTTTTCTTTGGCTATCAGATATAAAAAGGGAAATCAGACTTTACGATCATTTTTAAGCACAAGTTGTGCATGAGATCACATCAACACATTTAATGCAGTACATTCCAAACTTATTTTAATAAATAATTATAAATACTTCACGTTTTTCATAAAGAACCACAAATCACAAATGATTAATCGACTTCATTAATGAGAGTTTATCTGATACTTTTCCATCCTTTGCGCTTATTACGGACGGATTAAATATATTTTCAGGATTTAATACTCATCAATTTTTTAATCCTTATCAAATACTCCGAGAGATGAAAGAATAATTTCCCACCGGAATAATACATCCCAAAAATTGATTAACATCAATATTATGAAATGCTCATATCATTATAAAATCCTCTCAGAAAATAATTTCTCATCTCACCCATCGGGACAAAGTTTCAACATTTTTTTGGACGTGAAAATTCCTTAATTTCTGCCTAGCCTATTCTTGAACATCTCAGCAAAAAAAAATCTCAATCCTTTTTCTCTCCTTCTCCCATCCACAAAACGAAAAAAAAACGAACAAAAAAAATTCTCATTTCCGGAATGATAAAAAAAAACAAACAAAAAAAAAACGATAAAAATCCTTTCCTGTTCTCGCCTATCCAATGTTGAAGAGTCTGCACATTTCTGCCAGTTCCAGTCTCCTGACCTCGTGCCTGCTTCCAGCAAGTACAGCCTCAGCAATCCTGAGTTTTTTAGCCTGAAGATCAACAATTTTCTCCTCGATGGTATCAGGACAGATGAACTTGTGAATAAAGACAGGCCGAGCCTGTCCAATCCTGTATACCCTGTCCTCGGCCTGTACCTCAAGCTGAGGATTCCAGTGTACATCAACGATAATAACATGATTAGCCCCTTTGAGATTGAGTCCCTGTCCACCAGCCCTCAACGACAGCAGCAGCACCATGATTTCATTTGTATTATTAAACTTGTCAACAATCCTCTCCCTCTGGGGATATAGTGTAGCCCCAGTGTATGCCTCACTGGTCGCCCCATTAATATATTCAAGATGCTCTCCAATGATGTCAAGGTACTTCACCCAATCCGATACAATGATAACCTTCTCCCCCTTGCTGACGATTTCCTCTACCTTCTGGAGTACAGCAGTCATCTTCGAGGACCGGCTCTCCCTCCTGAACACAGGATTGTCCGCCGTGAGAATTCGACGATCGACAACTCTTCCATCGACCCCGATCTCCTCACCTCCATCGAAAGCAGCGAGATCTTGAAGTAGTTTGTTGGCATCCTCGAGTTTATTCACAGGTAGATTGTCAACTCCAGCCTCTTCGAAGTCCTCTTGTGCCAGAAATTTCGTGATCAAATGGGGATGACAGCAGATTTGCCTCAGCCTTAGGATCAGCGTGAGGATGTGATGTCTGGAGACGACCTCCTCTCGACGCTCCAGGAACTTCTTCTGAGCATCAGTCAGCTGATAATCATTGTAATTATTATTTCTCGTGTAGCAGGGACCCAGTACCATTCTTCTTTCCTTTTCAGTCTTCTGGTGGAGGAACTGGATGAAGAGAGTCCTGGAGTAAGTCATAACCCTGTCGTAGACGAGCCTCTCTTCGGGGACTAGGACAATAGTAACGTCTCTCTTTGTTTTGAGAGGGAGCTGTATTAGGCCAGCCTTCATCATTGCATCCTTCGTTCTCCTCAGCATCACTGCTTCCATAATGCAGTGCAGCCTGGCAGTGCCTGCAGCATCATTGTTAGCCACCCACTTGTTGAAATGCTTCAAATTGTCGAAGGGTCTGACTTTGAGAAATCTCATTATGGGAAATATATCCTTGACGAGATTGTGAATTGGTGTTCCAGTGAGGACCCAACGTTTCTGGGTCACTAGTGCAGCTACACACTCAGATCTCAGGCTGTTAGGATTCCTAATGATGTGTGCCTCATCCAGGATCACTCTCTTCCAGTGAATTTTGAAGAGAATCTGGGCTCGAGTCTTGTGGTTATTAAATAGGGTATCGTAACTAGTAATGACAATTTGATTTGATCGAAGTCTCCAGATATTTGTCTCCTTGTCCTTGTGGTAGATGTTGATGTCTGGGATGCACCCTCTCGTCTCGATCTCCTGCTTCCACTGGGGTATCAGATTCGCTGGGCAGACAATGAGGGTTCCCCCGGGCTCAACACGATCGTCTCTCTCTCCGCACTCTATCTCCCGTGATCTCATCATCAGAGCAATTGCTGTTACAGTTTTTCCAAGGCCCATGTCATCGGCAAGAATTCCCCCAGCTGGTGTACAGCTCTCTCTCCACAGCATCCAGGAGAGGGCCTTCTCCTGGTGCTCGAGGAGTTTCACTCTCATTCGTCGAGGAGTAGACGTTCTTGCCTCGTCCTCTGGTTTTGTCTGCAACTGATCGTGGATCTTCAGGATTGCCTCCACCGTCTCCAACCCCTCCATCTGGGTCTTCTCATTGTGAGTCTGTCTGCTTTTGGATTTTGGTAGGTAATAATTCAGGTATTTTCGCATTGTCTCGTCGTCGAACGTTGGTTTCTGCTTGAAACGAAGTCCTGGGGGGGAGTCTAAGCTGCTCTCATCAGGATCGTATTCAGGGAAGTACATCTCCGAGTCTGAGGACATCAGATCCTGAGGATTGTCCTGGGGTACCGGACCTTCGCCTGGTCCCTGATCGATAGCAGTCGCTCGAGAGGTCGAGGCCAGACTGTCCCAGATCATTTTAGGATCATAGGGGTTGCTATCATCGTCTTCGAATTGTTCCGTTGAGTATCTCCTCCATCGTCCTCGACGACTCCAACGATTATTACGATTACGACGATTATTCATCTTCGACGAGAAGTTCTTGGCATTCCAGGAGATCAGGGGGAAATTTGTGGAAGGTGAAGGGTTCTGGACGTTCCAGGAAGTCAGAGGAATATTCCGGGTTGTCAGGAGAGCATTATTGACAACTGGAGGGTTTTGGACGTTCGAGGGAACCCTTTCGGGAATAATCGTGGATGCGTGTGGGGCTCGAGAAATATTTTTTTTAGGTATATACCTCACCTGGGCTGGAACCTCTCCATCGGAGAAGTCATCGTCTGTCTTCCACCCCACGTCGACGTCCTCATCAGGTTCGTAGAGCTCAAGAGGTTGGAATTCTTCAGGAGACACTAGACGATTTACAGGCGCTGATGGGACGCTGGATTCCACGGGCTCGACTTCCAGGGGAAGATCCTCGTCCAGGGTCTCGAACTCGATGAACTCTGAAGGTTCCTCAGGGTCTCCACCAGAAGTTGAGGGTTTTGATGAGCTCGGATCAAGAGAAGTCGATGCCTGAGAATTATCCTGACTTTCCTCCATCTTATCCAGGTAGTTCAACACTTTTTGGAAGGATTTCGGACGTTTTGATGAGTTCACCTCGAGGGAGATCGAGACCTGAGTATTATTCTGACTTTTCTCTATTTTCTCCAGGTATTTGAGCACATTTTGAAAGGATTTTGAGGCTTCAGCAGCCCCTGAAGGAATTACTAAACGCATGGAGAATTCTTCTGAGGGAGACACATCTGGGGATGCGTCGGGGAAGTCAGGACAGCAGATTCTCCTCCTCTTCTCAGGGGTTGGGGACGTCTCCCTGTCAGTCACCGTTTTCCTGAGGGTTAAGACTCTTGTGGAAGGCATTGGAAAACGCACAGAGGACATCACACTAATTCAAAGGCACAAAGCAAACTGGAAAGACAGTTGGCGGTTTGAACAGGATTCAACAGGCATGTCCCCACCTCGCGGTTATCAAGAATTGAAGTGAAAATCGGCGCGACGTCATTTCTTCTGATTGGACGATTCGTATTCCACGCGCGCGCGTAAACACCTGAATTTTTTAGATTTTCAAAGAGATTCGAAAATTTATCATTAGATTGTTATTGATTAATTATCTAATTAAAATTTTTCAAGTGTCAATTTTTCTAAAAGTGAAAAAATTTTAAATTACTCCACGAGGACTAATTCGCCTTCAATTCGGATCTATGGTCGGTCCGCAACCCAGAACTACTCGCTTCTCCCGGGAATTCCCCTTATTGCGAGATTGGTGAGTTTTTAAAAAAAAATTTCAAGTCCCAAATTTTCCAAATTTTCCGAAAAATGAAAAAATTTAAAATCACTCCACGAGGGCTCATTCACCCTCAATTCAGATCTACGGTCGGTCCGCAACCCAGAACTATTCGCTTCTCCCGGGAATTCCCATTATTACGCAATTGGTGAATTTTTCAAAAAATTTTTCAAGTGCCAATTTTTCAAAAAGTGAAAAAATTAAAAATCACTCCACGAGGGCTAATTCGACCTGAATTTGGATCTACGGTCGGTCCGCTACTCAGAACTCTTCACTTTTCTCAAATATTCCCATTATTACGCAATTGGTGAATTTTTCAAAAAATTTTTCAAGTGCCGATTTTTCAAAAAGTGAAAAAATTTAAAATCACTCCACGAGGGCTAATTCGTCCTCACTCCGGATCCGCGGTCCGTCCGCAACTCAGAACTCTTCGCTTTTTCCAGGAATTCCCATTATTACGCAATTGGTGAATTTTTAAAGTGTATCAGGCATGTTTTTCGAATCGCAAAAATCGGAAACACCCCTAATTGGTATCCTCAAAAATTGAAATCAGTTCATTCAAAACTCCTTAAAAGATCGACCGGAGTTCAATTCCAAGTTTGAAATTCCCACACTTGGAGAGAGTATAAGTTAGGTTAGTCAGAGTGATGACATATGCAATCAACGCTAACTCTGACTGCTCCACCTCTCTCACTCTCTTTATTTAATCCGCCTTATTCATTCATTTCGTTAAATTCTCGTACTCAGAAACAAAGGATTGTGACAGCACAGACATTATTTCATCTCATTGTATAACTCAACACTAAAAGAGCCAACGATCATTGCCATCTAAGAAATTATAGGAATCCGTGAGTAAAAACGTTTGACAGTTGCTTATCAATATTGCTTGTTGATTATGCATTATTTTCTATTTCAAATGCTTATTACGTTTATTCTAATCGCCAGACAATTTTCAATACAATAAAGCCGTTCATTATTTTCTGTTTATTATTTTTTGTACTCCAACTTTTCCACTAACATGCGTATGTACGTTCTATTTTTTTCCTATAGGCTATTCATCTCTAGATGACTAATGACTTGATAACAATGATCGTTCTCATAATAAATTCCTATAAAATCATTAAATAATTATCAGCGACATACATTTTGCCTGTCCACGTCGCTCTTAAAATACTCATAATTATTTTTTCTAGCTTATTTTCCTAGAGAAATTTTGGACAACATGGCTCTATATCCGTCTCTGGAGGACATGAAGGTGGATCAGATGATGAAGGTAGAGACTCTATATCATAACTTCTCGTGTATCGAATACAAAATACAAGAAAATATTTTGAACTTACGTAGGCTCAATTGCAATCTGAGTATTCGGAGTATGCATCTCAGATGAATACGACTCCATCACGAGCGTCAGAAGTTCCATCGGCACCAATTCTCAATCGACAGGAATATGCAGAAATTTCGGGACCATTGTATCCTGCATTGGCAGACTATATGGGTCTTGAATTAACTGCGGAAATGATTGAAGCTAATATGCCTGAGTATTCGATTGCTGTTCGCCAATCTGTAAGTGGAATAATTACGTCATATCAAGTATTGAAAGCACTGAAATAATCATTGTGGGTATCAATATAATTTTTACGCTTTTCAGACGGAAATTACAACATCTGGACCAATTGCTGGTATGACAGCACCACTCTCTGGAGATTCTCTGGGTTTACAACGAGCTCAAGTATCACATGGAATTCGAGAGGTAGATTAATTGTAGATAATTTGATAATATGATTATTCCAATGTGAGGGACTCCCATATTATTATGACTACTATAATTTTTTTCTTCTGGTAAATTTCAGTTGACTCTCTGCAAAGATAAGGATGGAAAAATTGGACTTCGTGTACACTCGATAAATAGTGGAATATTTGTGTGTCTTGTGAGTCCTAATTCTCCAGCAGCTCTTGCTGGCCTCAGATTTGGCGATCAAATTCTTGATATCAATTCAACTTCAGTTGCTGGTTTTACAATGGATCAAGTGCACAAGTTATTGAGAAATGCCCCGATTAATGGTATCAAAGTGATCGTCAGAGACAGGTGAATTGAAATATAATTTTAAACTTGCCTTGAAATTTGTGGGATTCTCTTCTGAATTAATTATTTTCCTTATGCAGACCATTCGAGCGCACAGTGACAATGCACAGAGACAGTTCTGGTCAGATTGGTTTTCAATTTAAAGAAGGTAAAATAATAGCTCTCGTCAAAGACTCGTCAGCAGCTCGAAATGGCCTTCTTACTGACCACCAAATTTTAGAGATTAATGGCAAGGTGAGTTGCATACTTTATTGTTGTGTCTAATTTTATTATTTCTATTATTAAGTGAATTGTTTAAATTGCAGAACGTTGTTGGACTCAAGGACAAGGAAATCGCTGCAGAAATTTCTCAAGGCTCAGATGTCGTGACAATTACAGTAATTCCCTCGTACATCTATGATCATATGATCAAAAAGTGAGTGCGTAAATTAATATATAGATTAACATATATTTATCTAACATATTTTCATTTAGGATGTCAAGCAGTCTCTTGAAGCTGATGGACCATTCAGTGGCAAACCTTTGAATACCTTCATCACACCATATCGAGAATATCTTTTACCTACTAATTATTGCTATTCGTATTTTTACGTAAATGAATCATATATTTTAAATGACCAAGTGCCACATAACAGTTGTTTCAACTATTGGAAAGTTCATTCCGTTGTTTTTAAAATCGTGTATACATTACTCAATAACATAAAACACGAAAAAAAAAAATTATGACATCGTGATACAATATACGTAGACAAACAGAATGGAATATTTTTTTATTTTTCCCTTGCGAATTGTAGAAATTGGTATTCACTGAAATTTTAAAATTTTGCATTGCACTGTTTTTTTAACAGAGAATTATTTATTAAGTTGAGAATTTTCGCAATTATCTTATCTCGTCAAATGGAGACTACTCACGGCGTTCTGTGTGCACGGACGGTCTGCGTGCGTATGCACGCAGTATCGCCTGGCGACCCCCACTCGAGCGGTCTTCTGTGCGCATGCAGGGTGTTCTGTGCGCATGGGGAGTGCTCTGTGCGCAAGCGCGGAGTATCGCCGGGGGACCCCCCCCCACTCAAGCGCCGCCTCCGACGCCCTGCCATTTTCAGTGGGGAGTCAGTCGTTCCGCGACCCGCGCGTAGAGCGGTCAGTCTCGCGTCGCGTTGTTAAAATTCGTTAATATCGGGGTCCTAGTGAGCGCAGAAAACCGGCGCTGCCTGTGAACATTGAAAATACAAAGTGCGGGACTCAGTGCAAGTGATTTTGTGAAGTGTTCAGTGTGTTTAGATACGGACTAAAGTGACAGTGCGAATTAAATTCGAAGGATTACTTTTTTCATTCATCTTATTTTGAATGATTAAAAATATTATTTGATCTTTGATATTATTTTATTGATCTTTGTGGATTTTGAGTTGATAAAACATTCTTGGTTGTGTGGTGAGTGATTAGTGAACTTTTGAACTGTCTGGAGTGCTGATGCTGCCAAGCCGACTTCAACCTTTGGCGGGAGAATCACATGTAGATCTTCAGGATCGGAGGGCATCTTGCAACCGACTGCAAGGTGAGTTTCGTATGCATTTTTTTTATGACCTTGAAGCATAATTTTCATTTTATTTTCATGTCATTTTTTTCATTCCTGATTCTTGATATATTCAATGCTTACATTACAAACAATTTTCAATTATCCAATTAACTCTCCAATAAAATAAAAAAATTTAAAATAAAAAATAATAAATAATTTTAAATAATAATTTTAAATAAAATCTCGCAAATCAAAATTCAAAATCGCCTTTGCAGTAAAAAAATTATTTTGTCGAAATTTCATTAACAATTTGTTTTTTTTTTTATGTTTACAGTTAAGGTAAGATGTTCGAAAGGTGAAAATTGAAAGCGGACTTATTTTCATCCAACGCCGGTGAGTGAAATTTATTTATTAATTAGCGCCGCCGAATATATATCGTATCCGTTCCGTGGATTTTTTCGTGGTCGGTTCGGGGGATTGATGTCGAGATGCCAGTAAATATGGCTCCATCAGATAAATCGCGAGTGCGTGTATAAACAAGTGATTGACTACGCTGGAGTGCTGCATTTTGAAATTTGAATTAAAGCCCGGTTGGATTGTCTGGAAAAGATGATTTACTCCAAAATTGCCACTCCTAATTACTCCACCAATTAATCGATTTTTCCGATAATTGTTAGCTAGCGCTCTAGTTGTTGACAACCGCTACAGTGCTAGCTAATAATTATTGGAAAAAACGATTAATTTCCGGAGTAACTAGCAGTCCAAATTTCGGAGTAAATTATATTTTCCAGATAATCCATCCGGGCCTTAAATTTACGTCATATTTTATATCTCCGCCCAAAACAGTAAGTACGATATTAAATTATTATTGAAGTAAATCTAATGTAAGTATTAATGTAATAGATATTAATGAAGTGAAGATATTTTTAATAACTGGTAATTCGTCGAAACACAAATAATCAGCAATCGGAGGCTTTGAAATCAGCTCGTCAAAAATTCAAGTCAGTGGAATCTGAGGCATCGAAGAGCTCAGAGTTATTAAAAGGAAAGCTAGAGAGATTGAAGGAGAAGGACAGGGAGTCATCGACGAGGCAGGAAAAACGGAGCTGGGCAATTGGGTAAGGAAATTTCAAAATTTGCGAAGGGAGGTGCTGAGACGTTATCAGAAAAAAGTCAGGCTTTTGAGATGACCAATACCTTTCAGATTATATCACAGACCGCAGAAGTCGGTAGGAAAGAATTAGACAATCATGGGATTCAAGGACGAGTCTATGTACTATTGACTAAATTGAGAAAACAAAAGGAGATATTAGAGAGTGAAGAGAAAATGGTTGAAGCTAATACAGAGGCGACCGGTGTTCTGGACAAGGGGAATAGTTCAACATCAAAATTTGATGGAAATAGTGGCCAGAAGTGAGTATGAATAATTTCTTTCGTATTGCTTTTACTCAACACTTTTAATCATTTATTCCACAGACTAGCGTGTGGAATTATCGCGAGATCATCAGGAGTCTTCGAAAATACGAAAAGAATTTGTGCCTGCGATGGGACGACCCTGTGGGATGAGCGAGATGAGTCTAAACAAAAAGGTTCATTCAAAAATACTTTCATATATCCAGGTAAATGCACCATAGCCTAATACTCGTAGTATTTACCGATTAAATACAATTTTAAAAGCCAATGTTTTGTGTTTTTTTTTCAGGGTGTGGTAATAATCTTTAAATTCGACTCAGAGTGGATAGTGCACTTTTTAAATAATAATAAATTTATTTCTGTATGCAGGTCATGTAAAAGTCATATAATTTCATAATATTCCTGATGAAACATTTTTATATTTCAGTTTTTACTTATGTGGAGAGCTGAAGGTATTTATAACTCAAATAAAAATTCAATATAAACCCATAAATAAATGTTTATTGTGTTCGATCAGATTGATTTAATTCGTAATTTATCATTTATCAGTGTGCGTGACGTAAAAAAAATAATAATAATCCAAAAAGGTATGCGAATTACTAGGAAAATTCGATCGATTGAGAATAAATCATTCGTTATCAGAACCACTGTCGTCAGAATTAGTTCTGCCTCGAATTGTTTTTGATTTCTGGTTTCCAAAGAGTAGATTAGACGGCTTCTTTCCCTTTTGTGGTGGATTCAACAGGTCACCAGTGTATGATATTGCACCAGACTGGGCTATTCTTCACTCCATCATCTTTGTGGAAAAATCGTCGGAATTTCCGAGGTCCGTGAAGCCTACGATGTAATCTTTTGTCTTGTTGTCTGAGATGAGGGCTATCGTGGGAATTATTCTGGATAACTCCCTGTTGACGATTTCGGTTTCCTCTTGAGCTCTCGCATTTTGTCTACCTTCACCTTTCGTAAATCCATTATCTTTCTTCAGGTCAAGAATTGTTCTAGGAATTCATCGACTTCTGTATCTCCCGATAAGAATTTCTCAGCTATTTTCAGGACACGAAGGAGAATACAAATAAAAATCACAATTATAATTTGATAATTGTTTATATAATTGCTTAAATAATTACTTCCGATTCTTCTTCAATTTCCACAGCAGCTCGACAATGCATCTAGAATATCCATAGAAATTGATGAATTTATTATTAATTCATTATTATTTATTATTAATAAATGTCATGGCTCTTTTTTGATTCCAGGTTTTTAAATCATAACAATTTCCCATTTATTAACTTAGTGGATTAGGCCTACAGGGGATACCACTTTAAAAAAAACGCGTTAAAGACTCTACCCCTTGGGTGACGTGGAAAGAGTTTCACTTTAATTACTTGATTTATGAAAAAATAGTCAATACTGGGGAAGAATCTCTCGTATTGAAATAATCATATACCCATTGTTCATTTATGCTTTTGTAGACAATTTTTATGCCATACCTTTTTTTTTCATGTCAATTTGAAAGAAAAAAAATCAAACGACTCGACTGGCATTCAAATTTAAACGCCAGAAATCGCTGAATTGTGGGGACGAATCGCGCATGAGGAGAAGGCGTTATACAGCGCTACGTACGACGTCTGAAGGTACTTGTCTCGTGTTTTGATGTCGGCGACATCAAAGCTTGGCAATACCTCCCTGTATCATACCTTAAAAAAATAATTTTTTTTGTAAACATACAAAGCAGATAAGTTGTAAAAAGTGCAGGATTCCTCCTCAAGCTGTAACGCATCCTCACACGATCCCTGGCTTCCCCTTTTGTGAGTCCTCTTCGAGGATCATAATACAATTTTCATCGACATGGACTAAAATATATTTTAGTTATCGATGAATCGGCGCAACATTATTGACTCAGTAATTACTGCCAGCATTCCACTATTGGGATTATAAAAACGTTTATATTGTATTGGATTACTCGAATAATCATGGAGCCTGATAGGAACACGATGGTTGCTGTCCTCCAGCTCCTGCGGAAATACAACCTGAAGGTACTGTGCCTGATACCTGATACATAACCTCTAAACTCTCCACTCCAGATGTAAAAAAATAATAAAAGTCCAAAACTATTTCAGAATCATAGAAATTTAATACAAACTCAATTAAATACCTTACAGTATTTACAAATTTTAGTTAGCAGTGAAGTAATTGTTTTTTGTAGGGGACAGAAGATCTCCTTCGAAAGGAGGCGAACCTGTCAGACGTTTCGATCGACGACACCCAGCAAACAGATTCTGAAGTCAGTAGTGTTTTATCAGCGTACAAGAGCGAGGGTGATCCAGCTCTCTACGAAAAAGCCTACAGCGAGCTAAAAAAATTTGTCGAGAGTTCCCTGGACATCTACAAACATGAATTGGGAACAATTCTGTACCCGGTTCTTGTGCACATGTACCTGGAGCTTGTGTACAACAGCCATTCAAAAGAAGCCCAACAGCTGATGGAGAGATTCAGTGGAAATCTCGAGGAATATTACCAAAGTGACCTGAAAAAGCTGTCGAATGTGACAACGAGAGAGCAGATGGCGGAAAACGAGCTGACAGACACGTTCAAGTCCAATCAATTCATCATCAGAATATCGAGGGATACCCTGTCGATCCTGAAGCGTCACCTCCAGGAGAAGAAGCACTCTGTCCTTTTGAATATTATCCAGGAGCACCTGTACTTCGATATGTACGAGGGAGTTGCCAGGAATAAGCAGCAGATCCAGGCGACATCGGGTGCAATGTTGGGGGAGGCAACAAGACAGGATAACAAAACCAAAGTCTACTACGGTCTTCTCAAGGAACCTGACATCCAGTGTGTACCACCTGCTGAGGAGGAGGAGGGAGAGGAGGGAGCCAACGAGGGGGACAAACCCAAGAAAAAAAAACCCAAGAAGGATCCACTGTTCTCGAAAAAAACAAAGTCAGATCCCAATGCACCTCCTGTTGGACGAATGCCACTTCCCAATCTCAAGGATGCTGATAAACTCGAGAAGATCAAGGCTCTCAGAGAAGCCTCCAAGAGAGTCAATCTCAGCGCTGATTCACTACCTTCTATTTGTTTTTATACTCTTTTAAATAGTGTACACAGCGTTACTGCTGCCGAGGTCGCTGAGGACTCCAGTCTCTTGGCTGTTGGATTTAGTGATTCAACGTTGAAAGTCTGGAGTCTAGTGCCCCAGAAGCTCAGGCTCATGAAGTCGGGGGAGAATCTCGTGGATATTGACAGGGAGGCTGATGATGTACTTGTCAGGATGATGGATGACAGGACTGCTGAGACTGTAAGGACTCTCCATGGACACAGTGGACCTATTTATTCGTTGAGCTTCAGTCCTGATAGGAATTTACTGCTGTCCTGTGGCGAAGACACTACTGGTGGATTTTTATTTTTTTTTTATTACCAGCAATAAATAATATGGAAATTGAAGAGATTTTTTTTTAATGTCTTCAGTTCGATTGTGGTCTCTTCACACGTGGACGTGCGTCGTCTGCTACAAGGGGCATTTGTTCCCTGTCTGGTGCGTTAGATTCTCTTCTCATGGGTATTATTTTGCCACCGGATCCCACGACAAGACTGCAAGACTCTGGGCAACGGATTCTCACCAGCCTTTGAGGATATTCGCTGGGCACTACTCTGACGTCGATGTCGTACAGTTTCATCCTAATTCTAATTATATTGTCAGTGGCTCCAGCGATATGACCATCAGACTCTGGGACTGCGTCACTGGGAATCAAGTCCGACTCATGACTGGCCACAAGGCCCCAATCTTTGCTCTGTCCTTCTCTATTGAGGGAAGATTTCTAGCTTCTGCTGGAGCTGACAACAGAGTTCTTGTTTGGGATCTGGCACATGGGCATCTCGTTGCTGCACTCTCTGGACACACCAGCACTATTCACAGTCTCTCTTTCAGCAGAGATGGAAATATTCTCGTGTCAGGTAATTTTATCAATATTAATTTTATCAATATTAATTATTCACAATTTATTTCAAATATTTATTTGACGAAATAAAAATTCTGATTGAACGTCAGCTTCTCTGGACTGCACCCTAAAGCTATGGGACTTTACAAAACTCGCTGAAGAGATGAGTCTGGAGGACGTCAATGTATCCCACAACCCTGATGTCAAAACTTCTGCTGAGTCTTATCTCCTTCGAACTTTTCCCACAAAAAATTCTGCAGTATTGGCTCTTCATTTCTCTCGGAGAAATCTCCTCCTCAGCGTGGGAATGTTCGAGGCATCGTGAATGATGTATAAATAATCCAATAAATTCGTAATATTCTTCAATACAACGAGACCAGAATTAATTAACTTTCCGATCTACTTTCTATCCCCCGGAATATTGCGCAACCACAAGAATTCTTTATATAACGAACGAGATTTGATACGAGCCATTGTACCACTCTAGTTCATGGAATTCAGAAGTGGAATTCGTACTCAGGGCGCGAGATTTATTTAATTTTCGGGCATGCGTGTTGCATTACAAAACATTCACCTCTTTTTTTTTCGATATCAGGTCTAGGGGCCGAGGATTCGCCCAGATTTTGAAAACAGTGAATGTTTTTCCTTGTATTTTTCTCGCCACCTTGAGGATGGAGAAAAATATTTGGAACTTGTCTCGAGAGTGAAACTCATTCTGGAATTTACGAATTCCAGCTGCCGTTGGAGATCATCAAGATATTCATTGTTTTTTTTTTAGTCTGAAGAGGTTCAAAAGTATGGGCGACAATTACATTAGGTTAGGTACGTAAATTCAGGGACTCAAATAAATTCAAATTAAATGAGACGAATTTTTTAATTATCCTGATTGATGGAAGCAATTGGATTTCATTTTTTGTTGATTTTCTTCATGAATGGAAATACGTTAAAAAGAAGGGAATATAATTAAAGAATTTTTTTCAAATCAAACGTCAAAATTTTCCAGAAAACTATGAAATGTTGAAAGCTCTCTACGACTTTAAAGCAACATTCGCGAAGACGTTGAGCTTCAGCGAGAGTGACCACTTCATCCTGCACCAATCGAATACAAAACAGAGAAATTGGTGGCAGGTGGTGAACAATGCAGGCCAACTGGGCTACATTCCATCAAACTACGTGACAACAGTAAAAGTCGATCCAGACTTCATGATATCTTTTCTGGACGACTGCATCGAGAAGCTGCGGAGTGAATTTTCAAAACCAGGAGCACCCCTGCCAATGGACAAACAAGACTTGGTACAGAGATTGATAGAAAAAAGGAGACAGGCAGATTTGAGTAGAAAGCCGAAGAAACAAGCGCCACAGCCCCCAACATTCACAAGTTCCTCGCCGGTAAAAGATTCACCAATCCCCCAGGAAGCAGATGATAAACTCCAGACGATCCAGAATGTCCAGAAGACAAAAATCCTCCCCTACGAGGGGGACATCAGCCCCCAATTAAAGCCAGAACCGAAGCCCTCGAATCCAGATTCCCAGATCAGATCCCTTCCTCGTCAGACTTCCTCAGAGGTTCACCAAAGAGTCCCAGAAACCGAGGAGCTGCAGAAGACTTCCTCCCACTTGAACATTCGACCTCGCTCCCCCAAGAAAAGCAAATCTACCCCAGAAATGGACTCCCATGCTGCCTACAAAATCCTCGACGAAGTGAGAAAACACACACAGCTGAGTTACGAGATGTCCAAACTAGCAGTGAGTGTTGTTGTCTCTGGACTGCAGCAGTATCTCCCCAGCAACATCAGCCACTATTTCGACGTGGTTTTAAATCAGTTGGAGAAGCCCCTGATGATTTCCAACGTAAGTATCGAGGAAACGTATGACGCTGAGAGATTGAAAGTTATTTTTCGGGAGTTGACGTCGTGTAAAGAGGATTCCCAGCAGAGGAGTTGGATGCTCTACGAGGACGAGGCTGTCATCGTGGATTACATCAAGGAACTCACGTCAATCCTCACCAATGCTGATGCCAATGTCTCCAGACATGCCCTCAGGCTGGATCAGTACAATGGAATTAGTACTCTGATTCAGTATTATCAAATGGAGGCGAGATGGACCATCAGGCAACTTCTACTCCAGTCCTTTGGGGTCATGTGCAGTCTTGATCCTGTTGTCGTCACTATCATGCTCAATAGTATTTTGCCTATGGAACTCGCTAGGGATATGAGGAGCAATCCAAGAAATGTTCCCAAGCTCAACTACTCCTCTCTTTTACTCACTATGATTTTTTCAATGGGGGAACGAATGCCCATCACTCATGTAGAGCAACTGGGGCCTGAATTTATCTCATTTCTCCTGGAGCTCATCGAGGAACCACCAGATACTGATATGGATGACCAGATTCCTGATTTATTTCTCAATTTGGTGCTTTCGTATAATCTACAGTTTAGCAGCTCTGAGAATATTGTTCTTAATTCACTCAAGGCCAGGGACAATGCCAAGACATTCACGCAGAAAATTCTATTGCTGCTTAATCGAGAAGGTAAGGGAAGGGATTTTTATGGAAATAATTTGGATAATAATGAGGGGTGTGCTGTTGCAGAGGATCCTGTGAGGATATTCGATCACGAACCTGCTCCCCCGCACTCAGTCCTCAAATTGTTCATCGATTTATTCGGAAGTGAGATAACAGCTTCTTTATTCTACACGAATGACGTTAAAGTTCTTATTGACATTGTACTGAGGCAACTGTTCGATATACCGCCTGGTGAAAAGGTATTTTATTAACTGGATAAATAATTTATTTACAGAATTGGAATATTTAATTGGAATTTATAATTTCGATGCTAATTAGAAAAATCCAGTATCTTTTTTATTGATTATTTTAATTTCATAGAGACGACTATATCTGGAGCTCTGTCGAAGGGTTTTGAGAACATCTGGGTATGACGATCATCGACACAGATCTGAAGATCTCCTCAAGTGCTTCACACGGTAATAAGCGGGATTGATATAATTAGTCATTGGTTGGTCATTAATTTTGGGAATTTTTTTTAAATTTCAATGCAATTTTCAGAATATTCTGCGAGGAGGGACCGGAGAGTCAAGGAGATCAACAATTGATACGTGAAATCAGCGTTGAGTTTCCAAATCTTTTTAAGATGTGACATTTGCTACCCCCCTCCTTGTATAAGGAGGTGGACGACGATGACTTGCACACTCTGGTTTGAATTTCAAGTCCTAAAGTACTGATTTTTTTATTATTTTTGTAGTCCATAATTTTTTAGCTGTACAAAAATACTTCGCACTTCCTTTCTCATTCGATCGAGCGTAAATTGATATTTAATCGACCTAGTGAAAAAATTTTGAGAGTAATTTAGAAAAAAAGAGGTGAAGAGAGATCTATCGAATTTCAAATTCTTTCTAACTATCGATTTATCTGAAAAAACATCGATTCGCCGTGGAAACATTAAAGAACTTTTTTCTTGCTCATCAAATTTTTAATTGAAAATCTCTTTTGTAATGTCCTCTTAGAATTGATCGTTTTCCAGATAAATTCGTAATTAAAAAAATTGAACTCGAGTTGTTTCATTTTAGTACTGAATTCAATTTTTAATCGTTCATTTCGTTGATGAAAATGATGAAATTCTCAATTAGCTTTTTCCTTTGAAAAACTGAACAAATTTCGAAAGGTGTATTTGCTAGAATCAATTATCCTAGGATATTATGCAGAGAATATTTCCAGTTAATATTGGAAATATATGCCATTAGAATTATTCAGTCAGACCGTCTCATCTGATCAGCTAGGACATTTTAAAATTGTATGTAAGTAGGAATATATTTAGAAGAACGGGCAAATGAAATTATAATTAAACTTTCAGCTATGAGAATAATTAATAGAAAAACGTAACGCTTTCTCGAAGATGTTCTATTCATTTCCCAAAATTTCAATATTCCAAAGAATTGACTGGAATTCATCGAATGCGTTGGGTTTTTCTTTTAATTTTATTATGGCTGACTAAAATAGAGCCTATGGAGACACCGAATGTCGTGTGATGTCAACATTTTTTCTGCTGACTATTCGAATCCAGGGAAATCTCTCTTTCATATCTATCATGCCCCGGATGCTGAGAGATTATAGATTATATTATATATTATATATTGATGAAAGTACGAAACGTTCCAAAGTACTCTTTCTTTAAATGTGATACGTACATTTTATGTGATCAAATAAAAAAATCAAAGAGCTCGAATGTGAAAATAATTTCATGTTCCTCTCCGTAGACATCCACTGGGATTTTTTTTTTCGTCTTCTAATTCAATTGATCCGTTTGTTTCGTTCGTATTATTTGTTGATGGTGATAAATAATTGAACAATCATGGGAAAATACGATTGAAATATTTATTAATAACAATGAATGAATCTCGGTTTCGGCGGAATCACTTTGAATATCCAAATTCCTAGCGATTCGCTATAAAAATAATATGCGTACGAAAGAATAATGTATATCAGGCAACGACGTATTGCATTAGAGTCCAATGACAATGTAATGATTTACAAATGCGAACATAAGATTTCTGTCAGAGACTTAACACAAAAATGATGTAAAAAAAAAAATCAATATCCTGCAACGACAGCAGTATAAACTGATTTAATTAACGCCCCCCAGGCTGACTGAGGATAATTATTCACCGGTCATCATCTCCATGAATTCTGCAAACAGAAAAATATTCTTTTAATAATTATTTGGGATGTGGGCGGGAATTCCGGGTAAACGTTCTTGTAATGCCAAGTTCTCAGTTTTTAACTTGAAACGTTGAGCATTTCGGCAGTCTATTCAGAAAATAGATCATTATTTGTGCAGAAGTTTTTGGACGCCAGATAATTCACAGAACTGGCAGGAAGATACTAATGGGAGGTGTCAGCGTGATTGATGGTGATTATTTCACGTATTAAAAATTATTAAACAATTAATATTGAATGAAAATGATCTCACCATCGAAATCCACAGTTCCAGATCCATCAGAATCAATTTCCTCGATCATAATATCAAGTTCCTCATCAGTGAGTTGGTCATCAAGCTCTCGAAGGATTTCTCTCAGACATGTTGTTGGGATGTATCCGTTGCCTTCAGAGTAAGTGTTAATAAATTAATAAACTCGGTAGTGAAGCATTAAAAAAAATAAGCTCAATGTTTATTTTCTAGTGAATATCTCGGAATTGGGGGTAGCTATTGAAATTTTTGTTAAGACCTTTTTTGTAGGGTGAATTGAGAGCTAGAGAAAATGTATTTATAAAAATTTTGATATCTGCCGTGAATTTGGGAATATTTATTATTTTTTAAAAGGGCTGTGTTGGGAGTTAAGTGGACTTGAATCGTTTTATCGTTTTGCTGTTGAATTACGATAAATAAAATTTTATTGAGTATTTTATGGTGTGAGGTACTTCTGTTTGACAACATTTGTGTTTTCATTCAATTCGTTTTGGCTCAGATCCAATTCTGGTTTTCAACAACGCGTAATACCTTCGCCATCATTTTACCTTCTTTATCGTACAGTCTGAATGCCTCACGAAGTTCTTTTTCGAGGGCCTCCGCATCTTCCTCGACGATGAATTTAGCAGCGAGTGTCACGAACTCATCGAACTCCAATCGACCGGATTCTAAATAATAATTTGATTAATTAATTCATCAGCGAAGAAATTCCGTAGCAAAGTGCGAAAATTACTCAATTGGAATTTTGAACTTGGATCAAATCCCGATCAATCTGCAAAACCATTGATTTCACGAGAAAACATGATAAAATATTTTCCTTCGGAAATTTAATTAGCTCCAAAAAAGTCCTTTTATATTTTTCTATTTAAATTGATGGATCTCGAGATAAGGGGATAATTACGAATAATGGTAAATTCCAAATGTGAGATTTATGACTTTGCTGGTGAATTTTAATGCGAGGAATTTGGAGAATTATTAATTACTGTCTGCGTCGACTTCCTCGATGAGTTCATCCAGGATTTTCTTGTTGAAGGGCTGTCCCATCAGCCGAAGAATATCAGCAACCATATCGGTGGGAATACTTCCACTTTTTTCACGGTCGAAACTGTCGAACGCTTTTCGCAGAACTGCAAAATTCATTTGCTCGTTTAATTCCACTTCCTCTCATTAAAAAATAATCCATAATAATAATCCGAACTTCTAATAAAATCTTCTTCTCATTGTTTACATCTTCGCGAGGTAGAGGATGCAATATTGGGTTTTTCCCTTTCCTAAAAATATTTCAAGTGAAAATTCTTGCGATTTCTCACGATCGATTGGATATTTAACAAAAATCCATCGTTCTGTTTTTTTTTTCTAGGGAATTATTATTTAATTGAGGTTTAAATAATTTGTGTTAGCGTCTGCCGGTCAGAAATCGGCGCAAAGCCCCGCGTTCAAATTTAGATCTGATGTGAATGCTCTTTGGCGAATCTCTCAAATGCGAATGCTCGCATCGAAATTATTTTCACGATGTACACAATATTCCCACGCTGGAGTGCTCAATACCGATATTTACAATACAGAGAATAAACAATATTCTATTCATAGATCGAAATCGCTGGATCAATCGTCACTCGATACTCTCCATCACTTGATACTATACTTAGACAAGACCCAAGTAAAGCTGCGATCGAGTAAAACGTAAATAAACTCGAGTGCGGTAACGGAGAATCGAGAAAATGGGCCAACATTTTTGATTATTTATTTCCTAACGAGAAATCGAAAAAAATTGTCATTGCAATTTGCTCGCGGTATTTCGCGGAAAATCTCTGGATATTTTTTTTTAAATTCATCTTCAATTTTATCTAGCAATATTTTCTCGTTATTTACTCACCGGCTATTTGCTCTGGGGGCAGCTCATCGGCCTGTGCAATTAAAAAATTAGTGATCGTTCTCTGAGTCAGCGGTGAATTATAAAAATGAGAGAAATCGGGTTCAATAATTCTATCTTAGTTGCGGATTTATCCCGGAAACCATGGACTTGAGGCGAAAACATCAGAAAAATTTTTTCGAGGTCATTAAATTTTCGAGGAAAATGGTCTTCTGATATTTTCGGCTAAAATGGATAGGTTTGGAGATAAATCGGTATTTAACAAGACCGATGAATTCGATTTATCTCGTTTTGCCATTTTCCTACTGAAACCTTTATTAATTATTACTAAATGATAATGAAGATCGTTCAAGATGCAGAATTCCAGACGTCGAATATTCGATCATATTTTCATGCAGTAATTATCCTGTAGAACTGTGGAATAATTTCTTTTCAATCTAATGCAATAACGAAAGTGTGAAAGTGATAAAAAAGTGATAAAGTGATAAAGTGATAAAGTGATTTTTGAATTTAAAATGTTTTTTAATTACCGATTTATTCCGAAATTAATAAAATTATCAATTCACAGTGGAAACACGAGCATTTATTAGAAAATTCCATTCATCTCACTTCACGATTTCGTAAGAGAATTTCATTCGTTAAATTCAAGAATTCACGCACGAAAAAATTCCACTAAATCCAATGCATTCGATTATTTTCCTTATCCTGGATGAATTTTATTTGCATTAATAATTTCCATTGAGTACACAATTAATTTATACTGCCGATTTTTTCTCGTCCGGCGAATGCAATAAATTTTCTGCAAAATCTTTTCGTAATTTTTTTTTTACACAGGGATTTAAAAAATCGTCGGTATCTTGGTAAACTCGCACTCATGGTTGCAGTTGTAATTTAAAATTACTGAGATAATTATTGTTTGCCGATCGCGTTTCATAGCCAATTAAAATCCTGTTAGACTCATCAATTTATAAAACACTGATGCAAGAAAAAAATTAATAAAGAAAAGAGACAGTGTATAGAAATTTTGAAAGGCGACACGTGTTCAAAAAAATTTATTCTCCCAAATCAACGATTTCTTATTAAATTCTGATTAGTTTCTAAAAATTGCATTACAATTGATTTCTCAATGAAAATTTCATTGCAAATGACTGCAAGTCGAAGTGAAAAAATAAATTCAAAAAAATCTGATAAAAATATGAGATTATCATAAATTTTCCTCCCACGTGGCGCGAACGTTCGATTACTTTGAAAAAAATAATAATAAATATTGTTATTCAGATAAATTTTGAAATGTATCGTGTGCGTTTACCAGGGTGTCGACTTACAAGATCATCGGGAATTGAACATACCATCGTGTCGGTACAAAATAAAAACCCTTTCACTAGATACCGAGATAATGCACGTTTTTTATCCGTTTGGTGACGATGAACTGGTGCGTTTTTTGGGGACTGGGTACGAGACGAGCAGTTTCCCTGGTAATATTCATAGCCTGGGGTATAGCGGTTGCGGGTATGAACCCTCGTTTCCCCTTTGAGGAATATTTTCTGACTTCTCCCAGTTGAAAGCTCCAGCCAATCCCCGCGAGATTGGAACCGGCAGCAGAAAACACGAGCGCTTGCGCTATTCTGGGATCGGGGATAGTAGAGAGTAAAAGCCGAGGAATTTTTTTAAATCCAGAGATGTTGGACACTGAATTCATTTCTGAATAACTTTATTTACTATTTACCATTTACCATTTGCCTCCATGTACAATTTAAATATTTCAACATTTCATTTTTCAATTTCATTTCTACATAAAAATCGCAGTAGTCCACGAAATCCCAGAATATTCATCATTTTTTTCTCCTCAAACGAGTACATCAATATTTCAATGAATAATTAAATTATTCCTCCCATCAAAATACTCTTGATATATTTGTTGAGATATTTTTTATATTTTTATTAGAGTTTCTTAAGACTGAATCAACGGATAGAAGGGGAAAGTATTTAAATATCTCCTAGGATCACCTCATGAAGATTAGGGTAATGAGAGAATTACTTCTGATTATTATTGTGGAATAATTGCACAGAATTCGGGGGAATTCTTCTTCGGTTGAGTTTTGAATTTTTTCTTTTGCTCTGGTGCAGGAAATTTTGGTGGTCTTACAGATGATAATTTTGTAATGATCCAAAACCATTGGATGACGCAGGGGGAGGGGTCGAGTGCGCACTGTTGTCGTTACTAAAATAGAGAAACAGAAATCCTTTATGACGGGTGTAAACAACAGTAAAGCATAAAAACTAAAAGCCATCGTATTGAGAGTTACTGGATGCGTATTGGATTTCCGGGGGATTTATTATTTCAGGACATTTGTTTATTATTTAAAAAAAAATGAATTCTGTCTGCACCTTTGCAAAATCGTTGACTAAAGAAACTCCTCCCAAGAGATTTCATAATTGGCGTTTGAATTTTCACAGCCCGACTTGATCTCCTGCGATAAACAAAAAAAAAATTCCAAATTCCTTTTCATCTCTAAATTCAGAATTCTTAGTCCCAGATCCCTGAGATCTCATTAAACTCCCAAGGAATAATTATCCCACATTAAAACGACAAATCAATCCTCTGGCAGTTGAATGTTTTGGAAGAAAGTGCCACATCATAAATCAATTATTCATAATTTATTAGTCATAACTAATGGACCTCCGAATATAGAAAATTGGCGTGAAAAAGGTGTAAGCCAGAGGGAATTGTTGGAATCTGTACAGCGACTTGAGAAATTTGGCTTGCAGAACAATAACAGAGAACTTTCCAACATATGTGGGTGAGAACATCGCAATAACAAACACCAGATTATAAATAAATTTTTATTGGGCATTAATTTACACAGGTATAAAAGAAAAATTTATAATGGAATACCCTACATGAATTCGATAAATGCAAAAGTTCACTGGGATCCTGTGGAGAGAAGAGCGAGGACCGCACTGGTGGCACCAACTGAGAAAATATAATTAATAGCTGGTGTGAAGCTTTTCAGAAGATAAAACGACGCGAAGATGACGATTGCCAGGAAAAGGGCATTATTATAGAAGATGGAGAAAGTCGTCGCCTCGTAGTCAGCAACTTCGTTTTTCTTCCAGAGGATCCTCTCGTCCTTTTCCTTTTTACTCATTTTTTTATCTTCAGCGAGCTTTCGGGACATCTCCCTCGTCACTGCATCTTCCCTCTTCACTGCGATCTAGAGGATAACGATTTAACAATTGTTTAATAAATTATGGGGTGAATTGGTGAATTAGGACTGCTGCCTTAATCCTGCGGATGTGGATTGAAAATTCGTCGCTTTGAGTGTTACCTTGTGCTTCAGGACGAATTTCGTATTTTTGTACGCTAACGCAAGGGCGTAAGTGCTGACGAGCGTTACAATTACGAAGGAAATGAGATTGGAGTACAGATCGATGAGGTGAATCCTCCAGAAAAGCCCTGAAAATCGAAAATTATCACGAATAATTTTTTTATTTCTGAATCCCAATGAAAATCGAATGTTTCAGGTTTTCTTTACTCTGGGAGTCTGGACCAGTGGGGCATAACCCTAACCTTTCTCTCCCCACAACTTTTCCAACAATTCGAAAATAATGAATGAACCACCCCTCACAATCGTCGAAGAAACCCCCAGGAGTCCTTGACATGCATCAAAAACCTCTCATAACAAGAAAAAAATTCCTCAAAAAAACAGGAATGGAATTGAACTCACAGATAGGAATCGCTGCAACGATGAGAGCATTTCCATAAAATAATGCTGAAGACTTGGTCGACACGTTCCTGGAGAAGTCCTGGAGGAGGAGCTCCTCCTCCTTGGTGAAGGCTTTGGATTTTCCAGACATATTTTGTGATAAAAAAATAACAGACACTCGAAGAGAACCTTCACTGTTCAATGATCAACACAAGAGGATTATGGTGGAGCTGGAGATATGTTGAAACGAAAGAACACAATCCCCTGACGTGTCCAGGGAAACGTCATAACCCAGAAGTGACAGGTGGCAGCACCTGTCAACTCGTTGGCACTCGGGTGGATTTACATCGGACTTGAAAACGATTTCATAAAAATAACGTCAACGATGAACTGAAGTGTTGATAATAAAGAGTTGAATTATTTTCGTTCCTTCTGTGAGTGATGCACCGACACTAGGTAATTTTCGGGGACTTATCAATGACGTTTAAAATTAATTACAATAAATATTTCTTCTTTTCCAACTGGTCATATTCAAGTCTCTATTTTTTCAGATTTCTATTTCCTTGATTGCTTCACAGGAAAAATTCATTAACTCATCAAATTTCAAATCTACCCCAACACGTTCAGGAAATCTCATTTCTCCTCTGGATAAAATGTTTATTCCCATTTGTTTATGTATATTTAATTTAATTTTTTTCATTTCAGAGAATGTCCTGACATTCTCAAATTGGAAATAATGACGTACATCATCGAATGGCGTTGGCGTAATTATAATTGACTGACGCGTCAATCATTTTTTTTTTTCATCCTAAATCTATTAGGTTGTTAAACAATAATAATTACATTGAATGATAATAATTAAATGGTTTTCAACGAGTGGTTCATTATTTTAAATAGTCATTTTGTGATCGTTCGAGAGAAATGAATTTAAATAAAGACGCGTCTCAATTTTCTTCCACTTCTATTTGTAAAATAGGGAAAATTCATGAAGAATTAAATTAACTAATTCATTATCGTTTAATTGAGTTTTCCCGGATATCCAGGGGTCTTTGAGGGAATGGTTCTAATGGTTTTCTGCAGGAGTTACGTGATAGTATTTTCGTAGTTGTCGCTTGTTGATATTTAGTTTGGTCTTACAATACTTTTTAAGATTAAAACACACGAAGTACCTGAGGGGGAGTGCCTTAAGCACTTGGAACTTTGTGCAATTGTTTACGCTGAGAACAAATATGTCTTACGCTCAAAAAAAAAAAAAAAAATCGGGAATTCTTGAGACTTTCTCCTCTATTTTTGCGTTTAAATAATTCCCATCCAAGTGCAATGAACTGTTTGTGAATAACAAATATTCCCTGATTTAAACACAATCGCATGAAATTTGTGTTTCAATTTCTCTTTCCTACACTATAAAAGATTTATTGGTTTCTAAAATTCCGGATTTTTAGAGAGAATATCAAAATGCATTTTGATACCGATAAATCGATAATTGAAAAAGTTAAATTCAACATTCAACTTTACCGCTTCCGGACTAAAATCAAACTATCGATTTTAAATAAATTGGAGGTGCATGTGTCGGTTTTCTGAACATCGTTCAAAGAGAGATTTAAAGTGGTGGGATTCAATCCATCGAACGACCCGTTCAATTGTTTGAATCGATTTCGCTTTCAAATCAAGTTGCTCCAGGGATTTCAGTTTTCTGAATAGCACTTTTGGAATTGTGTGCGTAGAGTTTACTGCCATTGAAAGTCGACGTAAACGGGATAGATTATCGAACATAGCGACCGATAAAGGTTTCATATTATTGGAATCGATTCTAGGTCGACTGCACATCTCCAAGGATTACCCAGAGAAAATATTTTCCTGAAAAGTTTCAGACGAAAAAAAAAAACCGCATCAAAAGCATTTCAAAAGTAAAATCCAATGACAAGTGTGAGTAATTCAAATATACATAGGATAAAAAAATGTGAGCGTAAATTACTTGTAATAAATCGTATTTCCCGATTTATTCTTCACCATCGATTTTTCCCGGAGCAGAAGTAAATTAATTCAGTGGAAGTAATATTTCTTCTCAGTGTGAAAATTCACCGGGCGTGTCAGATTTCCTCTCTTCAATTCCAATAAAAAATATCCGGAAAACGATTCCCTCGCAGGGATTACGTGAATTCTTCCGTAAATTTAATTGAGTATTCGGTCCGTGTACAGGACGAATTTATCGACATCGCAGGTTTCGATCAAAATGAACGTTTTCAAATTAATTAATCCATTGAAGATGCCAGAGGCGGTGCTGATGATATTGAAACTTAGATTCAATGTTTGCAGTGTTTACTCAGTTCACTGAAACATTGAGGCTCTTGATGCTGAAGCCTGTGACCTCATTACTGTTCAAATCGAGATGCTGCAGGTTCTTCAAGCATGAAAATGTATCTGGATGAATGGCATCGAGATAATGACCTGTCAAAGATCTATCAGATCTGATAAAGTCGTAAGTAAATTCCCAGGACATCAGCCCATTCCATCCAGAATTTAAACTTCGTTGAAAGTTTGAATAAAAGGAAAGTTGATACCAATCGAAAGCCTCAAGTTACTTCATGTTCCTCAATGAATTGCCTTGAATATTTTTTCAATTCCAAACTTGACAAACAGATGAATGATCAATTAGTCTCTCGAAAGGCTTCTTAATTGCATAAAATCGACGGTAACTCAATAAAATTTAAAATACTAAAGTATTCAGGTGGAGGCGACGCTAACGAAATACGAGACAGCGAAGTAATTATAAAATGAGAGTGTCAGTTTGAACAGTTTTAATGAGTAAACGTGAATGAAAAACTATACAACAGCTTCTAGGAACAATAGATTACCTCCAAGTAGTAATTTTAATTTTTTAAAATAATTATTGACTGGAAATTTTTCAAAGGTTCACCTTCCCACCCTTGGATCACCCAGTAGAAAATCGAATTGCGCATTGCTGGTTATCTCTGAAGACCGATGAGTCCGACTGGACCAGAAACGGTGGAATTAACTGGGACATTGACGGAAATAGAAGCTCATCACGTCAAAAGAAACGAAAAAGTAAGAAACAAAACGCAACTTTTTTCATCATTCCTTTTTTCAAATCCTTTGCCGGTCCGACAATGTCGGTACAATAGAAATTAAATTTTCTTACCAGCAGGCGGCCTGGATCAATACTGCTAATGGAGATAGAGGAATGCCAGCCCTCCCCAATTAGGGAAACGGTTGGTGTTCATCAGGGCGAATTGGCGGTAGCGAAAAAAAAAAAACCGATCAACAGCCGAAAAGTTATATCGACTGGTATTTCGCACGTTTCCTGCCATAAACAACGCAATCACCCAATTACGTTCAAAAATAGCCCCTCAAATTTCAATTACAGAAAGCCGCCCCCACCCGTTACAATAATTACCAATTCCGGCAATTAAATCCATAAATTATTCTAAATACTGTCGCTTTATAAAATGATAATCCTAATGAAACGACGACCCCGGAAAAATGAGAGATCCGATGAAACAATTCAAAAAATGATCACCAATATTTCTCCAATAATTGTCAATGTCTTAATTAACTATTGGAATGATCTCCTCCGTGTGGAAATAAGAAAGATAAATGGTATTTTGGCGAAGTCATTACTTATTTTGGGGTGAGAAATAGAGGATTTTTTCATCATGCGGGTGAAATAAATCGCCTTATTGTTCTCCGAAATAGTTGGAGAAAATAATGTGATGAGGGGAATAGTGGAAAATCCACGGATGTAAAGAAAATACGGAAACGGAAAAGCCAACACCCCCCACAAGCGCATGCGCGGCGCTCCCCTATAAACCCCCTTTCCACCCTGTGATATCGTGCACTCGGGTTTCGTCTGTGTTTCTTTCCACTTGGTCCAGTGTATACAAAGCATCCTTCACATATCCGTATCATTTACCCCCGATAAATTCACCGATAAATTCATCCCGATAAATCATCAAAAAATATTCCCACCCCCGACTAACAGATCCAACATTTCCATAAACTATAAAAACTATATAAAAACAATTTACTCTCAATATTCAATTTGTGATACAAACTGTCAATCATATCGGCACGATTTGTAGTTTGAAAAAAATCAAGTGAAACAATACGCAGTAAAATATTCACCGAAAAATCCAGTGGGTGAATGAAAATAATTTTAATTATTTTACGAGTGATAAACAAACAATTCATCAGTTAATTCAGAAGATAAACAAGTGTAATTTGATATATATTTTTTTCACTAGGTGTTTTTCTATATGTTATCAATTAATCTCATGTTTTTTATGTGTAAATAAATGATATGAGGAGCATGTAATGTTACGATGATTTGTTTGATAATGTGGATTGTTCTCCTATTGTGAATGTTTTCCCTTTTTTGAGTCAAATCATTGAAATAATAATGTTGATTTCCTGACGATAATCATGCATGGAATCGTTATCATCGATGAAATTTATCCCGCAATGTTATCATTGGAAGTGTTGATGGTGTGTAGATTGGCCGTTGGACATTGTTGCTTCACAAAACATGAGCATTTATTTACATTCCCTCAAAGCAATTGCCGTAACTACTCATTAATCATAATAAGATATTTGCCAAAGGGATAATTCCGTGCAAAATGCCGGAGAATATTCGCTGATTGATAGTGATAGATCTCCCTCAGCACCGTGGATAAATTATTCAATGAAAGTCAATGCCTTTAATCAATTTGAGACCTTTTCACTCTCCTCTCTCACAGACCCGCGTACCATCGCTCATTCCCCTGAGAATTATTCCAATAAAGTAATTACCAATTGTACAACTGACAATCACCAAATAGCATTAAAAAATTCTTCGGTATTCTGTGTTAAATTTCTTTTTTTTAGCGAGTGCCGCCATTTTAAAAAGAGAAGGAAAATTTGTCCTTGATACACTTTTAGGCTCCTTTTGTTATCTCGATAACAAAAAAGTTGAAAAATCGTGACCGAATTTAGATGGAGTGGAACAATAGGTGAATATGAGAATTCACGCTGCCACAGTAAGTGATGCATGAGATTATATTTGTATTTGACTGTTCGTGATTTATTCGATTATAAATTCTGGTTCTAGTTCGTGAATGCTCCCATCGTAGCTGACGATTCGATTAGTTGATCAACTCCTCAGCCTGAACGATAATTATGTTGTAGTTATCTTGATAGGGATTGCTTGCATTGAAGAAAATAGTCTTAAGACGTAGATTAAGGAGAAATTGAGAAGCCTTTGATCCTCTTTTCCTCATTAGTCTTCTTTGTATCGCGAGTGAAAATCGAGTGGACAGCTTCTAACAAATTTTTATTGAAAATTCATTGCTAATTGGTAAACTGAGACAATGAGTTTGGCGTAGTTCGATTATTCATGAATACCTGCCAACCGAGAAGAGATAGCGAAATTTTTGAAAAGATCTTTTTTCCAGACCACATGTTGCTCTACAAAAGAGATATCTACGAAATTTTTTGTATTTCTGTTCATTTCCGAGATATTTAACGGAATTTTTTTTAACGCGGTCTCCAAAGATTCGTGCGGGTAAAGGATTAGAATATGTCATGTGGCGGTATTTGACAGTTCCGGTCGGGAATTGACAGGGCATATTGTGATTTTACAATATGTGTGTCATGAAGTAAAAAAATCGCTCGCAATCTGTCAATTTCTGCTGAATTCATCCGAATTTGTCGTCATATGTCGCTGGGTGTTCCCCGTTTGACACATGATGACATATGATCGCGACTGTCAACGCGAGATTGCTTTTCCTATTATCCCACCATTTGGTAAATGATGAGATATGTTGACTATTATTCAAGGACATTAAGGATGTTCGGCCCCCTTATCGCCAAAATTATCGATCATCAGAGATATTTCCAAATAAATGTCATTATATGACAGATCATGGCGTATCCGGCAGAATCCGTCAAACAATGATAAATGTTTTACTATATCATCATTCAAAAACTAAAGTCATATTTTGATAATAATTTGAGGATCTTCTCACTGCGAATGCACAGAAAATTTAAAACATGAAAGACTTTGACAGTTCAATATTTTCCATCCCAAATTTTGACAGCAAGTGTCAATTTTCATAAAAAATTCCCAAACGAATTTCGATCACTTGCACGATATATCAAATTCTTTCAATTGACATTAAAATTTATAATCGGTAGAATTTTACCTGCCATGTCAATTCTGTCAACATACATTACATGAGTAATTTTTCGTTTTATAAAATGCCAGATATTCTCGAAAATTTCAGAGAATTTATGACGGAAACTTTTAATATATGCCATTGCACGTTTTATCAATTCATAATTTTGTCAATGGTGTCAAATATTGACAGTTATGGAGGTATCTATCAGAGAATCTCCAACCGCCGTAATTTCCTTCGATATGTTATCACTCTCGTTCAAAATGTCAGGAATCTAAGATTATCGGAATATTCATAACCCTGAAACCGCCAAATATGTCCCTATTCATGTGGTCAACCCAACATGTCAAATTTTTAATCCTGTGACCACATGAATTGTCACAGCATGAAACCTAATGAAATTCCATCGACTCCTGTGACCTATTCGATACCGATGTCCCAAAATTTCAGCGATATTATGTCAATTACTGTTTAACTCCGTAATATTTTCCCCTTGACAGCAGCCTTTGACAGAATTAGTCGACGAGGGAGGAATCGAAAATGAAAAAGACGGAAAAATTTATTTTCCAAACAATTCACTGAGAAAAAAAAAAGATTATCTCAATGATCCATTTACTCAACAAAAATATATATTCTCATAAAAATCAGGGGCGTCAGCTCCAGGCGATATCGACCAAGTGTCAATGATGATAATCATATTGCTCCAGAAAATGATTACGTTGGCTATGACCTTGAATAAATTCCCTCCAGTCATTACCAGTGATGAAGAATTCCGGTAATTTTTTCTCGATATTTGAAGATTAATTATTCAGTACTTAAATATCAAATGATTTAATTCAAAGAAAATTAATAATAATCAGTGGAGTTTATCCAAACTTCAAGGACATCTGATACATGATCATTATCTGAAAAAAAAAATAACAAATATATAGTAGATACGAAGTAAATGGATCCTTGGCAGAAATAATGTTTTCTCGGAGTGTCGAGGGTCGAGAGTAATAGTACCAATGAGTAATATCATAACAATCAATTTTCCTCAGCAGATACTGACATCCATGAACTCAACGTATGGATCATCAGGCGCCCCTGAGAATGGCAGAAATATGGAGATATCGGGATGAAAATTCCGATTGCAGGAGAGAAGAAAAATCGAGAGCGGGAAGAGGTATGAATCCAGAACGAGTTGGCCAGATGATAGGGAAATTCACCTCGACTAGCCATGGAGCATGAAATACATCAAATGGAATCAGTAGTTGTGGAGAATAATGCAGTATGGGCTGGAGATGGACTGGAAAACAGCAACTATTCAATAACCAATTTATGCAGATGATGGTGAGAAATGGGCACGGGCCTCATCGTGTACATCCTCTTCAGAATTATTCAAAGACTCCTTACGCTGTCACGACTGATCCCTTCAGACAGTAATGAAGATTGAGAAGGGTATCAACAATGGCTACTCATTCTACTGGGAACAGAACAACCACCGGCCATGGATTGCTGCTGGAAGAGGTTACCATGGTGCTCACTGGTGTTTTCCTCGGGCTTCTCATCCTCGTTACTATTGTCGGTTAGTTCATTATTATCTCCAATAATCAATACTATCAGTGATTGGAAGACATGAAAATTTTATATTACTAGGTATTAACGCGCGCGTATTTCATGGCATACGGTGAAAGAAAAAAAAAGCATGCAATCCTCTTTAGACAAATATTTAATTTTTTTTTCCATTAAAGTTATAATATATTATATAAAATGTATATTTTATTCAATTAAAATTCAATATTCAATGTATATTTTTATTATTTATTTAAAAAGTTAAAAAAAAATTTTTTCAATTGACCGATTTTCAGGTGATGATTGGAATTGGATTTTGATAATCATAATTTTGATAATATTGCTTAGGGGATGATTATGTGGCGCGTGTCTTTGGATAATTCCACTGATTGTTATTAATCTTTTTTTTAGAGGGATACATATAGATTTTGAGAAATGAGAGTATTATGTAATCAGTTTTTTCTCGCGGTTTATTCTAGGCGCTCTCTATCCTAATTATCTTTTATCGCGTTGAGCGTAAAAAAACGTAGATTAAATTACTCTGAGAAATAGTAAATTGTGTTTACAATTGCCGGCCAGATTAACCGTCATTTACACTGGAACCTAGAGGTGTGAGATTCTAATTAAAAAATTTTGGTTTGCGAATTTTTTTAGTCGTAATTTAAATATTTGAGATCATGATGTACGTTTATTAAATTGATAAATTTGATTTGAGAATTAGTACATGACGAGTTTGCATCAATTATAATTTGCGTGGAGAACTCTTTTGTGGAATTAAATGAGGGAGTAATTTAATGGGAGGGGAATAATGCTAGAATCAGAGTGCCAATTTGAATAGTTTTAATGAGTGAATATGAATTGGAAACTATGCAACAGCTGTTGGAATAATTTTATCAATTACGAAACTTTAAATTTCTCTAAATAACGAATATTACGGCTGACTATCCGGACAATTACTTTTAATTTATTTTAATTTAATTTATTATTGATTAAATTATTGAGGGCCGGAGAAAAATCCCTCGAGCAAGTGAAAGTCTAATTTTTTCGAGGATCTTGTGCGCATCTTGAAATTTTACTTCGTCTCTTTGAAGTTTTCATGGGGACAAAATCGATGGGAAAATTACATACCGACTGATGTAAGAAGTCTTTCAGCCATCGTCTGTTAGTTCCCCGGAAAATTCGACCGTAATTTCCGTGAAAGCGGCATTGAATCGAATTTTTTGAGTAAAAAATGATTACGAAAATGGAGTCGTAGGTAGAATTCAGGAATATTCATCACTTTTTAGCGAAACTTAGATGAACATTTCACAACTCGATTGAGTATTCAACGAAACATGAATATTCAGGAGTAAAATGTCATGAATTTTCAAGTCTTCCCAGAATTCCTCTGATTTTTCATAATTTTTCCCGAATAAATAAATGCAGAAAGCAACAACTTAAAGATTTTGGGATGATTCAACGAGAAAATCCCTGGAATATTTAATTTTCCAATCTCGAGATTTACCGATACTTGCCACATGATAATAATAAATTCTCCTTTCATTCTCCTTTCATTCTCCCTCCACCGATAATCTGAAAACATCCTCAGCTCGATGAAAATTATGTTGCAATATAGTAATATTTAAAAGATAAAAGCAAAATATCCATCACTTGCCTGAGTTTCTCTCGAATTTCCCAGGAAACGATCGTAAAAGCTTTTCACCTCACGAAAATGGGAATTGTCACGTAAACTGTACTCAAGTTTTTTCATCTTATGCAAGGACTCTTTGAAACTACCCGAGACATCCTCAATATTATCCTCTTTAATGCCGAAGGAGAATTGAAAAAGAATGCGCCAACCCCCAACGAACGTTTTATAGAGGCGTTAAGGAGTTGAACAATTTGTTTCAGGAAATGTATTCGTTATAGCCGCCATTCTGCTGGACAGAAATTTACAATCCGTTGCAAATTACCTCATCATCAGTCTTGCGGTAGCTGATCTCATGGTCGCCTGTTTGGTTATGCCGCTCAGCGCTGTTTACGAGGTATATGAACTGAATGTATATCACTGAATTTATATCGGACGTTGTAATAGAATTTATGACGCTCGTTAGACCCCTTTCTGGATTTCTTTCTCGAGAAATAATTAATCAAACTTCTGTCTTGTACGTGAACCCCTACGGCGACTTTTCCACTCGGCATAAAACTCTGTTATCGTAAAAAAAAAATGTTCACGTATAAAAAAGTACTTTATCAGTTGACAAATTAAAAACTAAATGTGAGGACATTTCAGAAAAATGCATGTATAATCTCAGGGGACTCGTAAAGTCAGACGTAAATTGCAAATTCATGTCATCATCTGCTCCAACCGTGGATTTGAGAATAATGAAGTGATTGCTAAAGTTTTCGAAACTTCAGTTGTTCAGTTGATGATTCATTTCGCTGACGCGTTTACGGAATTCCCTGGACAATTATATTGGATTTCTATTGAACTTTCTATTAGTTTTCTGGTGAATTTAGGAATTTATGGAGGGCATGGTATTGAAAAGTCGAGATGACATTTCATATTTCAATTGGTTCGACCTGTTTTCTACTCCCTCAACCAGAAGATTCTAGAAATAATAAATACTTTAAACAAATACGTTATGGAACAACCGATTATTATTGACTTATCCAACAGAATATTTTTTATTGAATAGAACGTGGGTAAATAGTGACCCCAGAGGCTCCCATTTTAATATTTCACCCCTGAAAATATCAAATGTTACATTTTTTTTTTCAATACCAGAGCTTTAATTCCACCGGATCAACAAAGCCTTTCTGTAAATAATACGTCAAGAGCGCCGATCGCTCTGCAAATGAAGAGATTAAAAATAGGAAACGATATTCCCTTTTTATTTATAAATAAATGATTATAAATTATTTTTTTTATTCAATCCCGTTTGATTAGGAGTTGAAATGTATTTTCCATGGGATTGGGAGATAATTCTCACAGTTTTACACGTGAATATAATTGTTCAGATAATTTTTGTGAATTTCTCTTTTTTTTTCATGTGACAGGTAAATTCGGGATGGTCATTAGGTCCTGAACTATGTGACATATGGACGAGCAGTGATGTTCTGTGTTGCACAGCGTCAATACTGCATCTGGTGGCAATTGCTGTTGACAGATATTGGGCAGTGACGGATCTTAATTATATTCAGGTTACATATTTGTTTATGTTAATTTCATGGAGTTGATGCGCCGTCGGACAAGCGCAAACTATTCCTTGACCGATGCATTACCGCGTCTCCGGTTCCACCAATGGCGGTAACAAATATTGACATGTCATCAGAACGTCATGATCTTATGAGTTTTGTAGTCCATATTTACCGAGAGTCATTTATATCCCATCGCCTGTCATAAACATTTTTCATTTTCCTTTTCACCCCTCGCTATCATTTTTTTTATGAATAATTCATTTTTTTTAAGAAATGGATTCAAACATTATGCAGAAGATTTTTTAATAAATGTGATAGGCCCAAGTCGGGGATATAATATCCAATCGATTTTTTTTTTTTTCGTAAATTAACAATAAACGGAGATTGACATTTTAATATTTTTCTTCTCTAAAAATGTTTCGTCCACGAAAAAAGCGGAACGTAAGCTTTACGATTCATTAAAAACCGCGTGTAAAAAGTACATTCGTAATGAAAAATTGTGGAATTAATGCGAAAGCATTGAAACGAAAATAAATGGATCGTAAAGGGGATGGAGATAATTACAATTTGGTCTTTAACCAACATTCTGTCGATTTCAGAGTTAAAAACAGAAAAACTCTTTTCATTGGTGAATGAACTTTCAACATTTAAAAATAAAACACCAATTTTTCTTTCAGGGAAGGACTCCAAGAAGAATATCCCTCTTAATTGTAGGTGTGTGGCTTGTATCTCTAGGAGTCTCACTGGCGCCTCAATTTGGATGGAAGGATCCAGCTTACATGGAGCGCATTGCCCAGGGAAAGTGTCTAGTTTCCCAAGATCCCGCATATCAGGCAAGAAAAACTCACGACCGATGTCTCAATGGTATCTAAAAAATAAATTCTCCCATATCCACAGATTTTCGCCACGTGTGCCACATTTTATGTGCCACTCTTAGCTATTCTGTTCTTATATTGGAGAATATTCCAAGCAGCAAGAAGGCGGATACGGAAACGCCCCGGAGCAAAAGTCCATCAGTCCCGACAGGGGAATGGACTTCTCAAACTCGTCAGACGCAGGTGACACATCAATTCCATTGATTTTTTTCCCACAATGTCCACCTGATAACCGCTGAATGCCCAAGTTATTGATAAAATTGAAAAAAACTACCCGAGATAAGGTAAATGTCCTCGATTTATTTGATACAGACCACTGGAGGAGTCCACCGCTTTCACAATAACCCGATCAACACCAGAAAATTCATCAGCGTCTCCCGAAAAGACATCGTACGATGGCATAACACCGATCCAAGCGGCATCGGTATCAACGACGATAACAACGACAATGGGTACTATAATGTCAACGGCATCAACAGCAATTGTGGTGCAAAGTTCGCAGCCGCAACTTAACACAAAAACAATTGAGGCAAAGCGTGAGAGAAAGGCAGCTAAGACGCTTGCCATTATTACAGGTGCCTTCGTGGCATGTTGGCTTCCTTTCTTCCTTGTTACCCTACTCCAAGCTATCTGTACTGTTTGTTATCCACCAGAGCTGCTAGCTAGTTTCTTTCTATGGCTAGGTTATTTCAATAGTACCCTAAATCCCATTATTTATACAATCTTCTCACCGGAATTCCGTCTGGCCTTCAAGAAAATGTTGTGTGTGGGTACACGCTCTGTTGCCCGCTAACGCCGAATCAAGTGTATCATCCAACCAGACAATGATCTATTTATCATTCAATGTAAGATTAATATGCAAATATCAGCTATACGTAAGTTGAGATGATAAAGGTGTGTTCAATCGTTAACCAGAAAGCTTCAGGTATTCGTCATTTTACGATCAATCGTAGCAAGTCTTTGGTAAATTCATTAGACAATTAGTCTAATAACAATTGATCCTTTCATACGTTTTGAGATGGTATTCAGGGACTATCGTCTAGCAACGACTCGATTTTCACGACGTTGATCAATCGGTGATACGTTATTACTGAATCTGATGGTTCTAGATTTCTTGAGGTGATGTGGGTAAGTGATGAACCTTGAAATTAACTCATTCTTCTTCGTGGGCATTCTTCAATGTTCACGCTGAGTAGTTATCTTGATTAGGATTTCGAGAGCCACCAAACTTCCAAGAAGATTCTTCACGGAAACAGCGAGGAGCTTCGAAAATGAGTGGATCGATGAGTGCAATCCTCATGCGTTTGAAAAATGTATTTCCAAAAAGTATTAAAATCAGTTCATCGAGATGTGGCTGTACTGTTCACAGTTCAACTTACTGAATACCTATTGTAAAATAACCGATTCATTCGCCCGAGAGTGCGATGGCAGCATCGATGCGAATGCTGTTTCAATGATTAAAAAGTTTTTCAATAATTTATAGCGACTTGTCGATAGATTGATACCCCAGCAATATCGATGAGACCGGACTAATGGATAAATCTGTATATACCCACATCAACGAACGAGTAGTAAGACTAAATTTAATTATTTGTATGGAATGTTTTAAAAATAACTAATTTCAGAATATGGAAGACTGAAATGAAAGGTGAAGAGCTGAAAGAATAGGCTATTCATATTTTATGAAAGCTGAGATTTTATGGTAGGTGAATTTCTCCAGTTTTCGACTTTTCACTTGTGGATTTAGAGCGTAAGACAGCTTCCATCACCACTCTACCTAATGCGTGACGAAGGAAGTTGCCCCGTGCACAATCAAAGGAATTTTAATGATAGAATACGAGTTTCAATTGAAATAATAGTTATAACGAAACATCATTATGTTCCTTGTACATTGGGATGATGAAGGAGTTCATCGAATAAGTATATTTGTATGAAAGCCGAGGGTTTGTAAATCAAAGTGAGATTATAACTGAGAGAAAGTACGGAAATAGACAATCCTTCCTTAATTCTCGATAACGATTTTATTAATTCTTCATTATTCCGTGGTAAAACAATCTGCGCACTCGGGTAATTGTTCCAAGAATATGAGAATGCATCTTCGTGATGATTGAAGACATAACGTTCTTTTGTAGTTATGTATCAGTAATCAAAAGGAAAGGTCAATCAAAGTGGCTGTAAATAATTAGTCGATTATCTCGATGGAATTTCTCATTCGGGTTAATCAGTGCTGTTGGCGGGGCAAATTGATCATTCCTTTCATCATACGATGGATTGTAAGAGTAATGAAGGTCGTTCAATCGAATGATGCTACGGCATGCTTCGTAAGAGGGTGAAGTACCTCATAGCAGCGTTGGCGATCTACGGTGTTCATATTGAGAAAATCCATCAGCATCGGGATAAAATTCTATTACTGTACTCACCGTTGTTACTCGCTGGAGATTGAGGGTAATGAGACCATACGATGTGTACACATATTCCTTCTGTGCACGCATCAGCATTGTCAGTAATGTCAACTTGAATTTTTTACTCTTATCCATCCAATGGGAATTATAAATAGCGTCACTGATTTTTGCACTCTGCGATTGATCAAGGAAAATTTAATTTGGGATATTAATTTTTTACTGAGATATTATTATCGGCAGATTTGGATGCTGCGGCTGTGGAATTAACCGAATCCTTCAATCAGGGGAGACATTACCTGATAAGTCAGACGATCAGCGTAACCACAATATACCACTGTTTGTCCGGAAAGCGCCATTGTGTGAAAAAGATTCTTCATTATCTCGTTTAAATTTCCGTTTGATATTTCCTGCAAAAAATGAGATTGATGTTTGTCCGAAAAGAAATCGGTTTCAGCAGTTGAATTCAGTTTATAAAAATAATGAACTGAGTTGTTCACTTATTAGGATTGAATGATCACCGGTTAATGAATGATGATCGGTAATTGATGATCGCCAATCGATCAACCGATCTTCGATCAACAGATCTGCTGTCAATGCCAAAGTAGAAATTCCTAATATTCAATATCTCTTTTCAAATTCAACATTACCTTCTCCAAGCTGTACACACAGAAGCAACAATGAGCCCCATTAATCAAAACAGTTAGAAATATTATCGGATTGAAGAACTCCTCAGCTACAAAGCAATGTCTAGTAGAACAAATCCACGTATCTGAATTTATCGATTAACGATCACCAGTTGGTATGCCAATACTCACGAAAACATATCACTGTGTCTTTCAGCAAGAGCAGCTAGCCTCCTAGCATCGTCATCATCCTTGACTTGACTCGTTTCGATCCTACCGATTCGCGCCAGCTCCTCAGCCAATATCTGATATCAATAAATCCGAACTAATGACTGAATAATTAAAGTACACGAATACTCACTTCAAATTGCAACGACAGATGCATTGTAATTTGAGCGAAGAGACCATCACACGTAATCCAATAAGATATAACGCAAATCATAACGATTACTTCATAACCGAGACAAATCAGATACCGTGTGTATTCTCCGTAGAAGAACGGATAAGTCGCGGGATAAATCGATATAGAGAAATCGTAGGTTTCGTTGGTGTTGCGTAAGCAGTGACTGATGAGTAATCTACAACAGACGAAATTAGTACAGAGATCAGATGATCGTGATAAGAATCTACTCACATGTACGGACGGAGGCAATAAGATAACGCAAGGATAATAACAACGCAGCAGTAATAGAACCGAATGAGTTTGGTTCTTTCAGCCGTTTTAATCATGTCCAACGTTACGAGGTCATTCTGTCTTGCTGACTCCCACAATTTCGACAGATCATGCAAAAGATTATAAATCTCAACTCTGTGAGTCCACAGTCGTATCCCCTCGATAAATTTATATTAATCAAAATCCAGACATGTACCATGGGTTGCTACTACTTGGACTCACTTTCATGATGCTCAGCAGACCTGAGAAGGTCGCTGTTAAGGCTTCAACCATGTAATTGAGATCCTTCTGAGCTGCCAAATATACACTCACGAATTCACAGAACAGCACAAAACTCGGAATGGTGATGCCGAAGATGAAGGCAATGACTTCCCACCATCGCTCTTGTCGTGGTGAATCCTTGAATATGTCAACGATGGAAGAGGCACCAATGAACTGCAGGAGGAGCACATCTGTGGAGAAGAAGTAGCCGAATGACGAGGTATCTCTAGTTTCTGGGTTTTTCAATCGGATATTCATGGTGTCGGGCATTACAACTGTTGAAAACAACTTGCAAAAACTGTAGGTGTAGCTGAGGAAATGATTATTTCAGTGGTGGGAGCTATCTCTTATTTGGCATGGGAACATCATCAGGTGGAGGGAACTGGAGTGATGGGGGAGTGGGTGGAAGTTTAGTCTTGTTGGGTGGAATTGATGGAATAATTGATCAGGGGACGAGGGGTCGCTGTCACCAAGGTAACCCTCGAACATACAATCCGTTATCGCTGCCAATTTACCCTTTTCGTTGTGCCATGACAATAGCTCGAGGCTCATCACCTCGGAATTGTTTTTATTGCATCCTGTCGATACAATATTGCATTGTCTTTCGGGTCAAACTTCTCACGCAAGCGCACAACAATTCCATCCCTTCGTCTAGCTCAACAAAACCAATTTTCGGGGGTGCAGTATGACCTCCTTTTCATTTTCATCAACGAAAGACGTCAACTTCAAGGCTAGCTGTCAATATTTAAGGTATATATGTGGAAATGTGTTTATGTATGTAAGACAGGGGATTGCGCTATTTCGCTGCAGGGCCGACGAGTCAAACTCACCGAAAACTCACTTTTCCTCGTTGTTTTATCGAGCGTATGATCATTGTAAAGCACTTAATCATTCAACTCAGCGAACTGAATGATGACTTAATAACAGATCGAGGTAAGTGTTGGATAATTTTTCTTCACCAAGAATTCCACCGGGATATCGCTTTATTTTTTTTTAATATGTAACGTCAATGACTCGTCACAATCTGGGAAAATTATGCGCGATAATAAAAAATAATAAAAAATGTATTTTAATTTAAAAAATATATGACAAAAATATACAATAACTAGTCTTTCAGTAATTGAATTTTGCGAGGATAAATGTGGGAAGGATTTTAATATTTTATCGTGGATAAATCATTGGTTGTTATTATTAAATAATAATTAATGATTGAATTATCAATGACTACTGAATTTATTTTATTCCAAAATTATTCAGCCGATTTTTTCTTCAATTCATTATTTTTCCAAAAATCATCGGTTTGTCTTGATCGACCACTGGTCATGGTCCGGCGAACTTGTGCGCAAATTTTTTTCCTCATTATCATCCCCGGAGTCGGTAATCTAGGAATTCAACATAATTTCTGAGTATCTTACATCGATGTATCGACTGAATTCCGAGGATAACACCAGCGGGCGTTTGTTTCCATTCAAAAACTTCCAGATAAGACTCCACAAGTATAAAAATTCAAATCTACTTTTTCCCTTCGTTATAAATCATTTCCATCATTAATTTTCATCGAGAAATCTGAAAAAAAAATCATTTCATTCAGACCAACGATTTTTTCCGATGCGAAAATTTTTTTAGTGAAACTTTCCCGATAAAACGATAAAACGATACACATCGAAACTATCGATATCTCGAAATGTCCCTCACGATTCCCCATTGGTTAAGCCACCCGAAGCGCCAGATTTGAATCGAATTTGAATGAAAAATTAATTGAGCTTCAAAATATTGAATCATAATTTTTTTAATTACAGGGTGCAGTAGCACCTGAGATTTTTTAAAAATAAGGTTAAAAAGGCTGATTGAAAGGCGACGTGTTTGCGATGAAAATCGTCACTCCCATCTTAGCCTACTTCGATAAACGAGATCAATAGGCAACCTCTGACCCAAGTACCCATTGAAATACGTTTTTATCGATCAGTGAGCCCTGGTCCCGAGGATGCACTCGACTTGAATGCCACCGATATTGACGGAGCGTCACTTATATCCCCAACTTTTCAACCCCTTCTATCTCTTCTATCACGATCTCCACTCCCCGAGTAGTGCCCCTTTTTCCTTCACTCCGGTCTGCGAAAAAACGCAAAAAAAAAAAAAAAATTCTAACCGATTTGAACACCACATTCGGGCCCATTAGCAAAAACATTAATTAATCCTCGTCTAATCATAATTCCTTTGCCCATTGGTAGCCAGAAGCGTACGATACAATTGGACGTGTATGTTTAGGTTTTTATGGGTGAATATTTAATAAATATTATGAATTTGTTGTTCATCAGGGTGTGGGTAGAACCGGAGTTCGGCCATCTCCAATGCAATCTCACCCGGGCTAACCTCCTGGCCTCGTTACCACTCCGAGACGCATAAATTGGTCTGGTTCAAGCGCAGAAAACTACGTATACCTCTCAACTTCGTTGGTGGAACGTTTCGTTTCATACAGATATACTTCTCTCCCAACATTCATTAGCCGGCAACGTACCGAGAGTAAGATGCCTGGGTGAGCGCTGCCACTGAAGATACCCACTTCTATTTATGAAGCAATTTGCTTCCTTCGGAGTACACCAAAGTATCTCCACCTCCTTTCACTCTCAACACTACTAATAAGCTTTGCATCATTACGGTCTCCCTTCGACTGCCGTTCAAATAGCAAAAATTCTAAATAACTTTTCAAACGGCCAAACGCCAGAGGCAAAAATCACGAGAGTTGGTAATTTACTTTGAAAAAAATTCCCATCCATTTTCCCCAAGTTTTATCAGCGAGATGAGACATACGTGTTGGAGAAATTCATCTCTGTTCTAGGTCTTTCCGGATTTCACCATTTGATCATTGACCTGATTTTTTTGGAATATCGAAATGATTGAAAAATGAACGGCTTGGACAGTCATGCTGACACAAACTGGGTATCGAGATGCTGTGGATGATGAAGGATGAAGACGAGGTGGAGATAGCAATTTGAAATGCGTCTATCTCGAGTTGTATCCTAACTAGATGGATGTTGCCGTATACTAGAGGCTTATAGGTACGTTTCCATGCCAGAGGGATGACGGAAGGGGTGGGACATTTCGTCGGGACACCTGCTGCCAGTAAATCAATAACAGATATGCCGTGTAATTTGTGTTGCAGAGTTACAGGACACGGGGGATGATGGTGTAGTCTGCTGGGATAACGACAGAGATGGAGACATACTGCTGGGAATCGGTATGAAAAAGGTGGAGCTGATGGGAGTGGAGAACCTATGGACGCCGTAAGGTAAATTCTCTTTGGCACTAATAGCTGTTAAATATTGGTTATGCACCTCCGGAAGCCATTGGAATGGCAATGAGCGCACACGGATGACATTGCCCGCATTATTTAGTAATCATGTCGTCAATGATCCTTGGGAAGCCACTGTTTCCATCCACGAAATTTATTCGAGGTATACTCTTTTAAATTTCCAAGCGCATCACTCCGAATTTCTCGAAATTTTTGCACGTTTCGATAGTTCATTGATAAATTGTTATGATGATTAATCATTTGGGGGATCGAGATGTTCAAATTAATTTATGATTGACTCGAGGGAAAGGGTTTGACGCGATTTGTTTGGGGGCATCAACTGGATTTTTTTTTCAAGTCCAATTCTTTTCGAAAATAATTATCTTTTTGAGTATACACTTCGCTGCTTCATGCATATGCCGGGAGGATCTTTTATGCATGTCTCGTATTAAATTATAATCCGTCACGGTAGACTTAAACGCTGTGTATTCTCGTACTTACATGGTTGGTGCGCCATGATTTATAGTTTTATCGCGCCTTGTACTGCAGTGTATATGAAACAGGCTGTATCCGTTCCACGGATTTGAAAATAACATCCCTTTGGTGGAAATACCAGTAGGTCAGCCTCTTTCATCATTTGAGGCTACAAAATTCACCATAAAATTCTTTCCGGGGTTGGATTGGTTGAATTTTTGGTCACTGTTACGGAAATTGGATGGACGATAAAAAATCGAATAACAAAATCGGTATCTGCAGGTTTGATACGGTCAGGATTTTATGGGGACATATCTGTGACATGTTTTATTTGCGAACCTCTCGGTTTTTGATTTTTTTCAGGCAAGAAAAAATTAAATTCTTAACAGAAAATCCTTTTTTGATGACTTCTAGAAACCGAAAAATTTTCACTCAATTCTGTCTCAAAAAATTTCATATTTTTGAAAAGTCGGAAAATTCTCGAGAATTCCTGCAGATAACGCAGGTGTTCAGTCTTAAATTCAAATCCGGTGATATCCAAATAAAAAAACGAAAATTCCAGGATCATAATAATTCGATATTTGAATCCTCACCTAATTACAATCCTCCGAAATTTCCACCTAAAAAAATAATTAATTTAAGGTAATAAAAATTTAAAAAAACTAAAGAAAAGTTCTGGGAGAAGCCCTTAAAAAATTCTCCACCCCAAGAGAAATTCCCCATTGACTTTCCCAGCCACCATTATTCAATCAAGAAACACCATCCCTCCAGCATCCCCGATCCCCTAATTGCGCGGCTCATTAACATGCCATTTAATCACCGAGATGATTGATATTTTTGACGACATCCCACCACCTCATGTACGAGAACAATTAAAAAGCATCATGTCAAGTGACATTCTGCGGAGAACAACGAGGGCGTTAATTGCCCCATCAAATTAATAATGTCCCCGCGAAGCGCCTGGTGCCTTTGATGTTATCAGCCGACTTTTTCCCAAGCCCCAGTAGAATTTCACCGTCGATTTTGAGGAAAAATAGTGTCTCACAATGAGAGATCGCACCAGAACGATATTATGAGACAAACCGGTAGCGGTGAGATCGATGATTCTCATCCCCGTCACTCCCCATTTCAGTCTCTCTTCCTCTTCCTCTTTCCCATCAGCAAAGCGAGGGGATAAGCTCCGGACGCCAACCCTTCCGACGTGACTTGAATTAACGATCACAATTAACGCCGCCATCGTTCGTTATCTCGCGCTTGCCATAGCCCTCCGATCTCTGCACACGCCAAACCAAAATTGTCGTGGCTATCTAATTCTATCTCCGTCATTCACACGGCGAATAGATTTTTTTTCACCCGATCTACGTCTGCCTCGTGCGAATTACCATCCACTCCACCGTCGAAGATAAAACGTCAGATAATGGAAACGTTTGAACTCCATAAGGCACACCATTTAACCTGTCCCTCATTACTTTTTTCACTTGATATATTTCCTCAACAAGGAGAAAAGTGGGACCATTATACCACGTTGCTACTTTCTTAATTGAAATGGTGAAGGCAAAGAGGATGTGACGTGCGATATAATTGAACGATTCTTCAACAGCGGAGTATTTAAATAATCTATCTCCTGGTGATGAAGATCTATAACTGGTTCTCGAATTAATTCAGGAATTAAGAGACACTTCGAGAGGGTGATTAAGTCAAACGTTTCATGATAGCTATGGAATTTCGTGATGGCGACAGTTTGATATCGTCGTAGGGCACTGAATGGACGTGTTTATGTTGCCATAATTACGGCTATTAAATTTACAAATGGTGATCGTTCCTCTGATATGATCAGTTGATTAATATATCGTGGATTATAGAACATAACACCTGTCAGAACACAGAACTCAGGCATCTCCTCAAGCGGAATGGAATTCCGATACGCTATTGAAATAATATCGAAAGACAAGTTCACGGTTAAAATTGAATAAAACAATAATGAACGTACTAACTCCAGATGATGAATAATAATTGAATCAATCGAAACAGAACAGCAGTGCAGTCATTCCCTGATGACATTATAGAACGTAGAAGTAACGTGGGGAATCCCAGGGAATCACAGGGAAATCCCTGTCGGTACAGACGATCACTCTATTAGCAACCGCCCGGTCATCGGAGCATTGGGAGAAAAAATTCGAGCGTAAGGTGATGAATAAAACTCATTCAGGTTATTTATTAATTATATCTATTGAGAATCAGACTAAAGATGTTTTGAATCGCAACTCAGAGAGCGAAATATGTGATTCAAATAACTGTTATCATTTAGTTAATCAACCGAAATCGGTAAAATTTCAATTAAGAATGAATTTAATTCTATTATCCCACAACAAACTCATTGCGATCCGATTCTACTCTCCGAACTTCAACCCTATAACTCTCCATCAGTACTTTTAACCTCTAATTAACCCGAGAGAGTCTCCCATTTCATATGACTCAATGCCACGGTGTAAAGTCAATGCGCCCTGTTATCGACATGCTAGATTACAAGACCGTGGGCGATACGAGTAGATAGCAAGTGGGAGAAAGATAGAATGGCAAAGACAGATACCGGTGACTTCCCTCGTTCCCCAATTCCGTCCTAATGCCTCTCAGTATTCCGTGTAATTGGCGTAGAATTGAAAGCCTCGAATGGCCAAGCTACTGCGTACCAGCAAATAAATCGTGAGACCCTCTCCGTTGAGAGTGAAATCGAGCGTAGCGGAGTGAGCATTTTAAAGAAGAACGGTTGTCGTTGAGAAACGCTTGCCCAGTACGAACCCTCTTGAATACACCAGTAAGGCACGTTCTCGTACCCTTGAAGACATCAATGAGTCCAATGTTCCTCATCCTCCCTAAATATTTCGACTCAACTTGAAATTTTACCATTCGATTCAGTAAACTCTGTCTTTTCTCTTTCTTCAAGGAAAGGAAGCCTACCTGCCATTGACCCATACCAACCATCCACTCAAACTCAAACTGCCGTTGGACACTCGAGTTGATGAATATTTCCCACATGAATTTCGTATCCACGTAGATTCCTCCAAGCCTTGCGGTGAGTATGCGCTGATTTTATTACTCCGACAAGTCGATTTATCAAGTCCGGTAATTTTGTTTGCCGAGTTCCTGATGGTCACGTATCTCCAGGCTAGGTTGTTGGTGTCTGGTCAGTGTTCATTATTTTAGGCACGTACGCAATTTGATATTTACAAGGCATTGATTTATGGAATTTAATCAATTCCTTATCTTTATGATAGAATCGTATAATGATGGCTTTTCTATCCTACACCCTTCGGGGATCGAACTCACGATTCTCTGCAGATAGGATTGTAGACTAATTACGTTGTATTCTTGGTTTGGCCAAGGATATCGATTTTAAAATGCTCTCGTTAGGTCTCGAGCTTCGGCGTGACTGATGCTCTTCATTTCATTCTATTTTTTATATACTTTTTTATGAGAGGGTGGGGGGAACGGCGAAGAGTGGGGAGTCTTCACTGCACTAGGTGCCATCTGGAGGACAATTGGTCTACCTGAGGATTCAGGGGTTCTGTCAGTTTTAATAAGAGATTTGGAATTCTGCATTCAATTCAAAAATGCATTGTTGCAGTGGACAAATTCAAGGAGTTTTCATAAACCTCATCCGTTCAAGTGAGCACCGATCTCTGACAAGGAGCAATGAATACTCGTGACATCGGGAAATGTTTGGAAATGCTGTGCAGTCGACTGATGCTAACTGGAAATTCTGGAATCAGTTGACTGAAACATCGACCTCGACTACTAGACGACAGTGTTTCGAGCATCAGCGAGCTCCATCGAATCAACTCACTGACACGTTTGCGCGTGGAATGCACGTCAATTATCATTCCTAGCATTAGTTTAAGAGAAGTTGCTACATAACATTGCGAAGACAAACTTCACCAAGTTCAGGTACCATGAAAATTTCTATTAATATTTGCTGCCATTCGCGTTGACGGATTGTAAAGGAGAACAAAATCAATCCCTTGATAACTTGGTGGGAATAAAAGATCAGTTGCAGTACTTCGAAGGTCAAGAAGTTGTTGGCAATCCGCGCTGCGTTGATCTTGAAGAGATCTAGATGTCGAAGCCTGAGGCGCTCAAATCAAGATGTACAATTGTATAGTTTTTCGTCTGTATTTAATTAATCATAAAAAAATACGCGGAAGAAAATTTTTCCATAACTCTTCTGTCGACTTCCCGTATACGAATTAGTATTTCATGTCATGATCTCACCATTAGTTTTCAGATAATACTATTGAACGAACAGTAAAAATTTTTGCGCACGTAAAGTTACATACGTAATTAATTATGTACTCATATTATTTATACTGCTGCTTCCTATGCAAAATATTCTAAAAAATCACGTATCACGGGCGCAAAAAAATACTGCTTACCTCACTAGTATAATAATGGAATTATGGTGTGTCGTGGAAAATGCCGTGGTGTATCCTGGAACTTTATCAGGGGAGCGATGCATTCGGGATTTTAAATTAGTCACGATGGAACATTGTTTCACATGGTCTCACCAATTCCACTGTCGGGCTAGTTGTGGTGTGTCCCGAAAATTGAAGGGTCGGAAAAGTGAGAGCGACAGAGGGAAATGATGAGAGGCTACCAGGCAAGACCGGTAGATTTCGAATAGTAATTAGTACTTGGATGGTGCATACTTCGATGCAGTTCGGTTGTATTGGGTCATCGGAGTATTAATGAGGTGTGGGTCACCACAGAACGACGAATGCCTCCGTCTCTGTCGGCTGATTAGAGCAGAGGCAAATGCCGGTGGCACACGATCTTGCTTGCACAGGTCGTGATACTTGATTCTGGTAGGATTGAGGGGATGGTGTGTACAAGTAGGAACATCCATGGCCTCTCGTATCGCTGTACTGCCCAAAAGTCACTTAGTATGGTAATTTTGTAATTTTCTTCCATTGTACATCCACCGATGTCCTACAGTCAATCGATCTTCCATTGGGGCATGCATGCGTGAAATTACCACGTGATACTCCGATCCCCTTATTCCTAGGCATATCGTTATTTTTATTCTCTCTACACAGGAATACATCAAAGTGGAAATTTACCGACACTGATAGAAGAATCCGGCTTAATTTACCTAATTAATTGGGATGGACATTTTTTTTTCGATCGTCTTGGATTAAATATATATTCGAAGTTGACGGTAATAATTTTTAACTGAATAAAGTATAATTTTGTTTGAAGGTTTTGTGGATCCATGAATTTCATAATTTCAAATTGATATTCTAATCAAATTTATTCAATTCAATATTTAGCGCTCGCAATCATGGAGATGTTTGCGACTCTTGATCTATTTTATTTGTTATTTTACGATTTTTGGATTTTTAAGTCGCATTAACCCCACGTCCTGCACGTAATATATCATAATGTTCTATCGTCTTAAAAAGATTTTGTGTTTGTTTCGAAGAAATATAAATCGATTATCTCTGTCAAATCGTTGTCAGTAGAACTATGGGCCATAATTCCACGCAGATATCCGTCGCAAATTATTGACGCGCCAACGTCTTCCTGCAGTGGAGAAAAATAACAAATTTAGTCGACAAAGTGAAATTAGTTAGCGGAAGTAATTTATTTGTATTAGTAGGCCCTCGGTTGGTGTTCATGCTTACACGGCCTAAGATTGCAAGCAAGTGTGGATTTTGAAAACATATCTGTTGCGCAGGAATATTCCAATTCCATTTTTTACAAACGCTTCGATCGAGTAGCAGCACTTTTGTCGCGGCCATTGGCCAGTCGGAGAAACCATCTTCAGCATGCCATGTTACGAGTGTACATTGTTGAACATTAAAATCTTCATAAGGAGCTAGCGCAATTGGTTTAATCCTGTCAGTACTTCTGATAGGAACCGCAAGCTGAAAAAACGAAAGAAATGTAAAGGGGAGAATCTGAGAATGCTTTAAGAAAAATAAAATCTGTGACCGATCTATTCGCCTGAAAAAAAATAATAAATTTCCTTCTCGCTTCTCACTTGCCTAGATTTTATAAATATTGTATAGAACTTCCTGAAATCATTAAATATTTTCATCTTATCATCGGTGAATAATTTTCTGAAAAAATCGTGGCGAAAGAAATTCAATATTTTTGTTCATTATTATGAAAGTTTGAGTGGCTTACATGATATATATAAATCCCAAAGAAATCATCGCCCTGAAAATAATTAATGTGGAGTTTTGGCTCGCTGCAATTCAGAAATGATGTGCAACCCAATCGGATGGTGATGTCTTCGACAGAGATCGTATCAGAATACTTAACTCCTACAATTTTTTCGGGACTGATCAGAGCCCCAAGGGTGTACAGCTTTTTGTATACTTGAATAATTGCAATAGCAAGAGCCTCTGTCGCTGTAGCAGGCCTTATGGAATTTTTTATGTTCTTCACTTCTAAAAATAAATTATCATTATTATTAACATACTAGTCCTCAGAAATTTTTCGTTTGAAACAAAAAAAAATCGGAAACAAAACAATTGTATTTTTAAGAAATGTTTTGAAATTTTTTTTTTATAATTTTCTAGAAATTTTGACGAATATAATTTTTTCTTTTAATTATACTGTTGTCTTGTCACTTTTTTGATTTTTCAATATTCTCAAAAAAAAAAGACATCGAAATGATAAAAAAAATGTTCCGATTCAAATTTTTGAAAAATTTTTCAAAACCTTTCCAAAGAATAAAATAGTTTCGTTCTCCGGGTTTTTTCTTGTTTCATAAAAAAAATTCTGAAAAGTTTTCCAGAAATTTTTTCAAAATTCAGAACAAATTCCGATTACAATTTTTTTTGCCCGGGCCCGTTAATTAATTATTTTGATAAATATTCATCAATTATGTTTGATATCACGTGGACCGAATCACAATTTCACTAGCAGAAATAGCCAATCAGAATTCAATTTCAGGAGATGGTCAAGATATTGAACATATCTAGGATAAAAACTTCTCCTAATGATAATTATTATTCTGCTCTCACCTGGAAGAATCGCTACAATTGTTAACAACAATATCACGAATCTTGAATCCATGACGAATTTACAACGCAGTTTTACCCACTGTTGAGTCAACAATTTTTCCGGCTAAAAAAAAATCACTGTAAAATTTCCGAGTCTAGCGTGTAACTTTTATCCATTCTACAAGGAGATTACAAAACCAGAAATTACGTGCCCAGTCACGTAATCATGGGCTGCAAAATCATTTCAAGAAATTCTATCTGAAGTGCTAGGCGATAATTACGGAACTGCAATAATTTTTTTTTTCCCAGAATTCCAAGTGAAAACTATGTGAAATCACGTACAAATTACTCGATTCGACAATGCGAATTTTTTCGCGAAGCACAGAACAGGAAAAATTAAGATCAGTCACGTAACGATGTGGGATGTGCGATGTAAAATCATTTCAATAATTTTCATCTGAAGTTCTATTTAAAAATTTCGGAACAGGCCCCTTTTTTTTATCATAATTCCAAGTAAAAACTGCTTGAAATCATCCACAAATCCTTTATTCCGTAAATATCACGTGACAATGAAATTTTTTTCTAAAAAAAATGCAATATTATGTCCTTGTCTTGATAACTGGAAAAATCAGTAGACGACAACTGAACCATATACTTTGCCTAATCAAAGCGAAGAAGGGTGATGATTTCCAAGTCTAATATTAATCCAGGTCCCCGACAATTTCATTACCCCTCACCCCGACAATTTCCAAGATTGAAGAAACACGGAAGTTGTGACTTACGATGCGCTCCACGAATCTCCCCAGGAAAACTTGCTAGGTAGAAAGCACATTCTATCTCTGGGTTGGATACATAGGGTGAATGAGTACATATATACATACCATACTTTTCTCGAACTAAGCCCGGAGAAATTACGCGTCAATCGGTGGAAAGAGACCGACAAGCCTCGGCAATTCCCAATGTGTGCGGTAAATCCTTGCTAATTGCCTCGGACAACAGTATCAGTTCTCAAGGGTTCAACTTACCGCGTACAATCTGCTCTCCACTCACCATTCTCTTTCGATCTGAAATACTATTGCCTTCATACGACAAAAAAATGAAAATTGTTCCAGAAATAATAATTCGCCATTATATAATTTTTCCATGAATATTTCTCAGAGAAAAAGCGCCTCATTAACAATTGGCGTTGAAAAATCATATCAATTAAAACGGAGAGAAGCTGTTGAAAGGACACCAATGGAATTAAAATCCTTTAGATGTTCCACGATTTTCATAGAAGTCATGATGCTGTCCGTGAACCTCCGTGAGACTCTGGCCTGGGATCAAACAGGGAGCGATGCTCCAGCGAAGATGCCAAAAGTCCATCCAAGAATGGAGATGGGAATACAAACGAAACAAAGGAGCCGAGGGAAATGGCAATCCCTGTGCTTTTGTCAGGCCAGCAGGATCCTCTATCGTATTCGCACAATGCGTTTTTGGAAAGGGGCAAACTATCAGTTCAATGCTCAGCTGAGGTCCGTGGAGGTTGCACAAGAAGATTGGAATGAAGGTGTGCGGTAGAAGCCAACTTAGCGGTTTATTCAAAGTCCGGGGAATGAGGAAGAACACCGATACCACAAGGATAAATTCCTCTATTAATTTGAGGATTCCGAGTTGAATTTGGTGGAGCTGAAAATTTTATTTCAAAGAAAGAAACAAAATTCAAATGTCAAAAAGTCTGGATGACCCATCAGAATAAATACCAAACTATCAAATCTGATAATTAAAGTCACTTTGACCTCTTATTACTCTCCCTGATTTTTATTTTCTTAACCAGAGTGGAGAGTGAAAAAAATGCCTTTATTAAGAAGCGTTATCTCAGAGAGGGGTGAGAAACATTGTTGCTCATTAACTCTGCTTAGCGGTACAGTTATCTGAGGTGAGCACGCGTGGAATTGCAACTCTCTTCCATAATTAAGACGGCAGTTCTCCCATGGATAAACACCCCGTTCACATTTCCTTGCCCTTGTTTCACCACCTTCTTGTCTCTTTCTTCTCACACGACAAAAATATAACCAGGTTATTTCAGAACTTGCCATCGATCTCACATCTCAAACACATCCAAGATGGAAGATAGAAATTCATCAGTTCTAATCATCTGACGTCCGAGAGTCCAAACTAGGATTAATTATCATTGTTACCTAGCATGTACACACCTGAAAGTTCACGGGTACGTGTGAAACGTGGGCATTCTTCATTAACTGTAATTACGTGAGATTATCAAGGGAACTGTATATTCCATTGTTCCGGTAAATTAGGAAGCAATCCCTTGGGTCGTTATACCCTTTTGATTTTCAGTGCTGCTATCCTTTTACTGTTCAGACAATTTGACCCGGTTATACCAGAGGCGATTATTTATCTTCTGAGTTGATGGCAAATTGGTTGGAGGCACTAAAAGATCCGGGGTAATTGAAACGATTAATGGAAATATTTCAGGTAAACAATTATGTACTCTGACATATATGTATCTGAATTTTTTTATTTTTAATCTTTTGAGAAAAGAATATCTTGAAGTAATTAATTAATTCACTATTACTTTTTATTAATTCTTATTATATTATATATCTTCTTTATTTTTTATTAATTTTAATTAATTCATTCATTATATTACAGCGGCATTCTACCAGGAGTTTGGATTTATGGAGTAAAAAATAATTGTCAATCATTTTGAGGGACGGCTAAGGCAAGACAGGGTATTCATTATCATGTACATATTATTACTCCCCTTGAGCCGCAAAACTCAAAGTTTTCTCCTCGAAAATCTTTCCAACCGATTTTCATAATACGATAACAGTCGAGAAATTTTATCCTTCCCTCGTCCTTGTTACCCATTTCATGAATATTCATCATCTTTCCGTGTTGGAGTCATAATCTGCACATCCTAAAATTATAGAGGAGTGGGCGTGATAATTTTGGACTTTTCGATCTGACGTTAAAGTCGTGTTACAGTAAATAGATTTGAATAATAAATTTCGATATTGAATTCGTGTAAGAGTAATTAACAGTTGAAGGTTTAATAATTCAGTACTCGATTGCAGATGAATGGAGTTACTCAATCTATTTTCATTCGAATTCGTGAGCTTTCAATAATTAAATTCACTGGGATATTAATGGAATTGTTGTTTGCGGAGAAATAGGCGGTCTAGTTAGTCATGATAACAATGATTCTAACAATAATGAAAGAAACCTTTGTCTCTCGAGTAAAATAAATTATAAAGTACTGCGACTTGCGTTGCATACAGAATTTTATTTGTCCCCTGGTTATTCATCTTCTCGATAAATTTATGCTCGGGACAAATAGCATGTGATAACAACGAGTGTTGGAAAAAAAAAATAACCATTGCCAGTTGAACAGTGTATGCCACAGTGACCCATAATTTCATTACCACAAAAAAAAACTAGCATTCCTCCCCTCAAACACCTTCCCACGTAAATACGTACCTGTCAACTGGAATTAAAACGTCAAGAGTAACGAATGAATGGCAATAAAATTATCAGAATTTATCTCTCAAATCCACGAATGAAAAAAAAAATGGTGGGGCTAAGCCGAGCGTTAAAAAATCAAACAACGTAATTCAGAATTATAATTTTTCACTGTGCGGATAAAAATAACGAAGTGGCCATTCCGTAAAAAAATAGTGAATAAACAATAAAACGTGGACATTGTCTGCCGCTCATATTTTACGACGCAGATAAAATATTTGCTGGAATAATTATGGCTATCGTTGGGCGTCTGTCTCACCGGATTCTCGGGATGTATTTTTTTTCAACTCTGGAAACTAATTTTTTAACTCTTTACTTTTTTCTATTTTTCTTTCTTTTTCAAGGGAAATGCCGCAATTGTATCCCCAGTCGTGGCAGTTAATCACGTCTCCAGTCTCGGGGTCGTCCAATCAGCAGTAAAACGGAATAAAATCTCATTTAGGTTGGTGACTAAAACCAAGGGACAGGTGCGGTATTCGATTGCTTCTTTCTTCCCTCGCTTTATTGCACCTCCAACCCCTTCACTCTTTCATTTCATTCGATCGGGATTGCATTCCCGACTGACGTGTCCCGTTAAAATAAAGTTGAATCATTCAGTGTAAAAAGAAGAATTACGTGAAAATGCCGGGGAATTACAACTTCTTACCGACTATTTCTCATTCTGGGTGAAAAAATTAAAAGAGACCCCTGGAATGCGACAAATAAAATTTAAATTCAGGAGATAATACTAATCAACATCTCAGAATGACAAAAGTGACCCCCGCCATTTTATTTGGACACCGAACAAGATGGCTTTCTTCCCCATACGGCATTGCAACATGGCGGAGCTTCCACCTCGCATTTTTCAATAATTATTTGAATCATTTATCCTTCTCGCATTTCATTCAATGGCACTTCATTCTGTTCCGCCGAACTGAACCTTTTTTTCCCGCCAACTTCCAAAGAATTCCGTTCTTCAGTAGCTAAAAATCCGTGCTGTAAAAATGTATTGAAAAATGTATGAAACTTTCAGTGTTTTTTTCTGATGACAATTTTTATAACAAATGAGGAATTCTTCCTTGTATTTTTTATTTTGAGGGGTGGAAGGACTCGAGAAAGTGGTAAAACGAATGTTCAACGGCATATGTGAATTAATTGTACAGAAGGGAGATTTTCATATCGATTACGCAGGACAGAAAATGGGGTCGAACGTAAACGACGCATGTACGACGCGCCGGGGAATTACTCCCATACCTACCCACTGAAATTGAATTAAATCGCGTCTATCTAATTGTAGTACGTGAAACACCCACATTTGACAATGCAGACACCCTCCCAGAGAATAAAGAGAAAATATCACATCGTTCTGCGATTTTTTTCAATTTATAGGATAATATAAACAGATAACTGGTCGTTGGGGGATCGCCCGACGTCGGTATAATATTCATTTGAACTTTGTCATAATTCACAATTCATAAATAAAAGTTTTAATTAAATCCAGGGGTCCTCGGAATATATTAACACGAATAGTAGTCCGCAGGGAGAAAATTTAATTTCGATTGAAAGTTTTTTTTACATTTATTCATGGAAAGTTTCTATTTATGTATTCATATAGATATTAATAGAGTATCATTATTTAATTGATTAAATAATTCAATAATACTGAAAATTGGAAATTGGATATATGATAGAATAAAATATCAAATGACTTAAAAAAAAATAATTATGATGCATATAAAAACATTTTTTTTTAATTATGAACAAAACATTTAACTCAAAAAAAAAATAATCAATTCACCAAAATAAAATATTATTAACTGAAATCAATAGATTTTTAACGCCTTTTCGCTGTAGAATGAAAAAGGCTTTGATTGAGATATATTTTTTAACCGAATAAGTTTTTTAAATAACGTAATGACATGAGCCCTTGAATAATTCACAGGTGCCAACGACGATATTATGATTCAAATGCTTTTTGTGATGACATGCTTGACATAACCGCAAAACGATCTCAAAAAGCCCCAACCCAGTAGAAACCTAAAACTCACTCAACCCATAAACTTCCATAATGAACATGGTTGGTCACTTGAGGACAAGTTGAAGAGACAGGGAAAACGAGCCACCCCAGCATGAAGCCCAGAATGTCGTTGGAATTGAGATCGCATAGATTCCAGACAGACGAGGGACTAGTGGAGGGGTAGAGCCTCCATTTCGAGTGAAAAGCCGCCATTTGCTGGGATAAAAGAGAGAAGAGAGGACACGAGCGAATACTTCTAGCTAACGAGGTGAGCTTGGGTTGCTCTAATGAGCATCAACGGTAGAAGTGTTGTGGCAGGGACATCACATCGCCGGAGGCCTCGTCAGAGTGAAATTCATGTGCCGAGAGTTTCTAGAATTTTTTTTTCAACACCCCAGCCTCCAATTCAACCGGCAAACCAGTGCTTCAATGTTCCTGACACATTTCCATTCTTTACTCTGCTCCTTTCTCATTTTTTTTTCTCTCTACCCCCTTTGAACATCCCACCGGAGAACAATGCATCTGACGCGTTGTGATAAACCTTGTTTGTCATTCGTCTCCTGCTCTTGTTATCTGTCATAATGCCTTGTTTTACTAATTAAAAGAGGCATTTATCTCGGTTTCATTTTAATTGCGGAATTGCCACACAATCGGACCGCCGCATCTGCCATTTTCATCCTCTGTACATTTTTCGGAAACATTAGAAAGTTCAAAATTTCCAAATTTAAAATTCAAAAAAAAGCATTCAAAGGCGTAAGAATAGAAAAGTAGAGATATACTGGGAGAATTTTCCACTTCACTACTTTATGATCCTTTAGAAAAATCATTAAAGTAGCAAATGTCCATTTGGTAATCAGAAGAACAATTTAGCCATGAGAAATTCCAGGGAGGCAAATGGCATGAAAGACTCGAATTATAAGTAATGGAAGCGAAATGAAAGAAATTAATAAAAAAAAGATGAAAAAGATGAAAAAGATGAACAAGAGTAGGAAAAATAAAGGTAGAAATGAAACGACTCTTTGGTGGCTTTAGAGAGTGGACGAGATAAAGGGAAGAGGTTTTCTTATCTCACTTTCAGGTATTCGACTTTTCCCAGTGGCTAGAGCCTCTCGGAGAAGTGGCACCGGCTCGATGCCGGTGTGAGAGAAGGCCAGTCATGTTGCCTCGATTCATCTCTCTCGTTTTCCACTGGGGAATTGGCTGGTAGTATGCCCTGTAAAACTTTTAGCTATCACGCTCCACTAATTAATGCAAAGAATAAGCGGCACCAATTACACCTTCTGTCTCTCTCGGTTTAATTTTCTCAAAGACCGTGGAGTTTTGCCCATCCGCTGGTAGCCCATATAATTTTGCGGCCACCAGTGGAAGTGCGAAAGAAGTGTCGAATGTATTAGCATAGGCTTACGTTATTTAAATAAGGATTTTCGTCTATTTGAACAGAGAAAGCAGCGGAAATTGTGCAGTTAAATGTTCTGAAAAATTGGAAGCTCAGGGGATTAAATGAATCCGATTTTATTTTCCAAATTGGATTATTTTAAATAAATACGGACTGATACCGTTCATACATTTAAGGTATACAATTTTTTGGTAAAATAAATTGAAGGCAGATGCCAATGGGAACATTAAGAAAACGAGACTGCAAAGATGTCTGGAAGAAATGAAATATATTTCATTGTCTTTTGCAAAAAAATAATTGATAGTGTAGCAACGGTTCGGCGACTATCTGAATCAGCTGTCCTTTCCTCAGGTTGTGAATAATCAAAATTGTTTGCTCTTCAATTTCCCTGAGTATCTCGGATATCAAAGAATCTCCATAAAACATCACTTCAATTATTCAATTCAGAGGTAAGAATACTCGTCATTGTGCACCAGCGAATCCGTAACATCGGATTGCTCCAACAGGTTGTCATCATTATTGTGAACAGCTAGAAAACAGAGACGTAGAGAGACAAAACCATTTTGCATCGTCGAGTTAGTTAAATCCACCTCTGAGTGATTAATTTTTGATGAACTGCACGGCATAATATTTCTTACTATTAAACCAAAATCTACTCACCAAGGCTTTCCAGTTTTCGCCGTCTTTTTGCCAACAGTAGAACCGCACCGGTCGTACCAGCAATAGCAATTACGAGGACGATAGTCCCAGCTATCCCGGAGTAAACGAGATTATCCGAATGTAGATCCGCCGCGTTACAGGGTAAAGCTGAAAATTATTAAAACTTTCCGATTATCGACACGAAAATCCCGATATTAATTATCTGTCATCCTATAGAACGATGCGATCGACATCCTCAGGCCGTAAAATATTTATATTCTCAATCAAGACATAATTACAATTTATTATTTAAAATGTACTATTATTTAAAATTGGTGTTATTAATTTCTTTATTAATTCTATTTTGGCATTCATTAATTTTTCTTATTTTCTTATTTCCTTTCTAAATATCCTACATGTCCATCGATTGGGTATAAAATAGCGTCTAATTTAAACATTGGGATATATTTTTTAAGAGCATGAAATACTCACTTGTGCTCATGAAACACACGATGGTCTTGTCACTGTCATAAGCTCTGTCATCGGATAAAAGGAGATAGCAGCTGTTAGTGGAGTTGGTTGGTTCCAGTTGGCATTTTTCACTGCAGCCAGGTCCACGCCAGTTTACGGTCTCAAAACTCCCCCCGGTGTCATTCGTTCCATTCCTATCAGAAATCCTACGGAAACGAGGCGCGACGCTGGATAATTTTATCGTTCACCAGTCACAGGAGTTTGGTGAATTGTCATCTTATGGGATAGAGAAGGAGATGGGTTGCACTATTTCCGAGGAAGCGAATCGATTCTGTAGCTGGTTTAGTGTAGCCAGTACACTAAACGCGATTCGCTTGGGGTAGCTTTATGACTATCGTAAATACCCAGCGCCATTTTTATTCTTTTCCAGAGGATGGAGGAAGGGAGGAGAAGTAATGAATGTGCGATCAGCATTTCTTCAGTCAATGACTCCAGCCAAACACAATAAGCGTAAAAAACCGATAAATTAATAAATATCATATCGATTGAACGATTACCGATGTTTGATATGACGATAGATAAAAAATGGACAAACGTGGAAATAAATAATTCAATGAATTTCACGTTCAATGGGCTATTCTCTCCTTCAAGATCAAATAGTCCATTAAATCACGGAGATTTCAAAAGATTTCTCGAACAATACTCCGTATCTATACGTTCCATCTATCTGCTCTTATTCGTCGATAAATTATTGTACTCTTTTTATATTCCCCGAGTGAATTGCCCTCGTAGCTCATAAAAAATTTAATGAAATAAGCCGACGTGATGATCGTGAATCTTCATGAAAAAAAGAGAAATACAAGAGTCTCACCATCTCGGTAGATTCACATCATTCTCGTGAAAGATAATCCCACATAATGTCGCGGTGTCACAACTCTTTCCACTCCAACCGTGAAAACACTGACAGTTCCGTTCATCGGTGTTACAAATCCCATGATCTCCACAGTCGCTGTCACAAGGATTGACACAAGCACTGGCTTGGCCTTCGATATCAGTTTCATTCTCCTTGATGAAGCCCTCGTAGCACTGGCAGTCGTTTGGGGCGATGCATTCGCCATGGCCGCAGTCATTGTCACAAACGGGAAGACAAAGAGTTGCATTGAAAATATCCAAGATGTAGCCGTCATCGCACTTGCAGCTTCCAGGAGATTGACACTTGCCGTTGGAACAGCCATCACCGCAGTCTGGCTGACAGAATTCACCGTCCCTCTCATCAATTTCGATGTAGCCATCCTTGCATCGACACTGGCTAGGTGCTACGCACTCTCCGAACGAGCATCGACCGTTGCAATGTGGAATGCAATCACCCTGATGGTTCTTTTCATATCCTACGAGACATGTGCAGGTATTTGGTGCTGTGCAGGTACTATTTTTGCACTCAATCTCGCAAATTGGCTTGCACAACGTGCGAGTGGGCAGGTCGAATACCAGCTCCGCCGTTGTGGTGATCAGCTTGAAGCCTTTGTCGCAGACACATTGAACTGGAGCCACACAAGTACCATTCCCACATATTCCGTAGCACGATGGAACGCATCCGTCTTTGCTCATCTCGTATCCGTCATTGCATATGCATAGGCCCGGCTTGAGGCACGTACCGTTGCCACATTTATTGCAGATCGGTTGACATATGTGGGATTGACCAGGAAGAGGGCTCAGCTGATAACCATTGTGACATGTGCAGACATTGGGCTGTGTACAGATACCCTGCTCGCATCCTGATTTGCCGCAGACAGGTTCGCAGTTGAAGGGATCATCAGTGTCAATACTGTAACCATCATCACAAGCGCAGAGTTCCGGAGCGACGCAGGTGCCGTGAATGCAGGGCCTAGAGCAGGCAGGATGACAATTGATTCGATCAGAGCTACGATTGGCATTCATCTCGAATCCGTGAATGCATTCACAAACGTTTGGCTTCGTGCAGACAGCGTGCTTTCCACATGGAGGATCACAATGTGGTGAACAGTAGTTCGACCCAGCGCTGTGAAGAGTAGAGACCTCCCAGCCTTCCTCGCAGGAACATGTGTCTGGAGCAATGCAATCACCACGAATTCCACAAGGTGGATCACAAATTGGTTCACACCTGATAGATTCAACATCGAAAGTTTCATTGTTCTTCTGAAGAATGAGTTGGTAACCTGCATTGCACTCGCACTTATTGGGCTCCGTGCAGATGCTATTTTCCCCGCAGGCTGGAACACAAGCTGGTTCACAATGACGCATGTCTTCCCCGGGTGAGTAACCAGGTTGACAGTCACATACGTTTGGTGAGGTGCAAATAGTGTGCTCTTCACACGGTGGATCACAAACGGGATTGCAATACCTTTCATTGCTCAACGCATGATCAGCCTCATAGCCCACCTGACACTGGCACACGTCTGGCTCAATGCAACTGCTGAAAGGCCCACATTCAGGAGAGCAAACTGGCTGACAACTAACACTTGGGGAATCCGCGCTGTACCTATCAGTGACGTTCTTCAACTCGTATCCATGGATGCACTCGCAGTTATTCGTTGAAACACAGTGACTATGCCTCTCACATCTTGGCTGGCATGATGGAATGCAGGTGTAATGATCCCCTGTCAGCTCATAACCCGGATGGCAGGTGCAAGTCGATGGAGCTGTGCATTCACCGTTTATGCAACCATGAATGCATTCTGGAACACACGTTTCACCGGATGATGAAACTTGAACTTCATAGCCAACGTCGCAGGAACATCTTTGTGGACTTATGCATAAACCGTGCTCGCAATTACTAGCGCAGGTTGGTCTGCAGACGTTCTGCACCTCGTGGTAGCCGGTGCAGCACTGAACGTTGGTCATCCACTCGGTTTGAAACTGAATCATCAGATTTATGATTTTATTTCTCCAGTGAGATCATCTCATTCTCCAGAAAATTACAAGGCAAAAGGGCCAAATCACGAGCTTCAGGAGGTAATGTATGAGCAATTGGTTAATGTTCTATATTAGTCAACTTATTTTGTAAGATATAAATATATAAATTAGGCGGGTCAGTTAATCTTTGATGATTTGATGAAAATAACTTGCTTCTACTGACGTGGATGAGTGGCAAAGCCAAAGCATTCATCAACCTACTTCTGTCTCAAATAATTACCTCCCATTTGTAGTTCAAGCGAGTCATTGTTCTCCATATGAAAAACACTCGTTTTCGGTAAGTTTCTATGTACGGAACGTATCTCGATGTTCTGTGGCTGTGAATACATAAAATAATATGTAAAAACACAGCAATTGAAATTATACAAAAATTTATTTATGTTAATTAATTTATGTTATAAAAATTCGCCTTTAAATTTTGAAGTATCAATTGAATGAATGAAAAATCAATGATGCATTCAGTTTTTTAAGACTCATCACTAAATAAAGAACATACCTCTTCCATTCTTTACAAACAGAAGACCCATCCCAATCCTCCAGCTCCCCTCGAACAGCAGTTAAGACTGAATAAAGCAGAATTATTGGGATCGCTAGTGTCAGAGGCTGCATGATTGAATTATAGGGATTATCACAAAGTTTCGGGCGTTTTCTTTCGATTTTTAATTCATTAATGATCTTTGGAGGCACTAGGAAGTGGTTAACAGAGTGATCACCGCGGAGTAACTGTCCCAGCTTACGATGGACGCATTAAATCGGTTATCTTTTCCCTTCCATCCGAGAAACTTCACAGCTGTATCATTTAAACAGGATGCAGGCTGTTATCTTATGATATTTTATTCGTTATGGTACACTCACTACGGGATCACTGGTATTTGGTCAAAGATGATGTTCCTGGAAGATGACGGAAAATTCTATGAGTAATTTTCGTGTGTTCTATACGTCATGTTAATTCCCGAACGTGATTCATGAAATGGAATCGTTCATTGGTACTCAGGAACTTGAAAAAAAAATCATTGACTTTACGAATTCTCGATCCTGTCTTTTTGATTTAGGAGAAATGTTTATGGATTGAAATTAATTCATTTAATTATTGTTTTTATCAGCATAGAAGTCTGGAATTGAATGGATTTTAGGGGAAATACGAGGTAGATTGCTGCTGCCGGGATAAATTTTCATTGCTCTGAAAGAACGATTTAAACAACAATGATCATTTATTTATCCAGTAATAGAGACGCGATTTTTTTTCTTCACACAATGCCCCGACAATCAGAGAGATCGAAAATTCTGTACCCCACGGTCTCTTTTGTGGAGCGTTTCTATTGAAGGTGTACCATAGAGAAGTCGGAATTTTTTCAATTTATTGTGATCATTGCTATCAGAAAATTCCTTTACATGATTCTGATTTTTAATAATGGAAACTCGGCGCTTGTACGATACAAAAGCCGTCCTGTACATGTGTCCCCGGGGGGTTATTGCAAAAAAATGCAATCGCTGTAGGGGAAAATGTATATTGTACGGAAAGCATTGAAATTTGGAATTTAATTGAAAACTCGTACTCGCAGCTTCTTCATTTCAATATTTCAACCACATGAGCAAGGACGATTTAGATTAAATTATTGTTTGCCTCATGCAAGGAGCTTATCTGTTAGTTATTCCACTCATCAATCAAATGAATTAAATCCAATAAAATCGATTCTGCAATAACGTAAAATATTTTCTACTTAAAACCCAATAATTCCTTAAAATCCATTCCTCAGGAAAATCCACGAAACCCGCGATATAAGTTATAAGATAAATTTATCCACCTGCCTTATCTTTTTTCCGGGAAATTTGAATTTTATCACGGGCAAGTATTTTCTACGCCAGGGGTTGGGGAGCATTTCTCGGGGATAAAAACCCCTGGAGGTAACTCAGGAGACATTTGCATTGGCGATGCAAAAGGTTTCCGTACCCTGCAAAACAATAGCCTCCACGACTGACTCGTATTAATTACAGAGAGTCGCATTGTAGCAATGTTGCTCTTGCATATTCTTGCATTGTACGTCTTCAGGATGTAAGGTACTTGGGTACCTGGGACTTTATAAATGCGACGTGTAATTCCATGACTGAGTACGAAGAAAAATACAAAACCGTCACCATAACATCTGCAATTTCCTGTCTAGATGACGCAAACGACGCAAATTCTGGGATGTAATGATATCAAGTACTTTGGTTAATTATCCCTCCCCTTGAATTCTCCTTTGCATTCCTAATTGAACATCAGAGTTTCCATTTTACTATTAATCCACAGAAATTCTTTAATTATTATTGAACGTTTACAAATTCAAATCTTTTTTTTTTATTTTCAGAAAATGTGAAACATGTACATCTGAAAATATTTGAAGGAAATTCGTCAAATAATTCTATTATTTTAATTATCATTCCATTTTATTTGTTGACTTTTTATTTAAAAAATAAATACAATTTTCGTTTATTTCCCTCAAAAGTGATTCTATCACTCCACTTTATGAATGATGATTCATTCAGGATTGAAATCATTTCCCGTTTCAAATTTGTTAATTATTCCGAATTGGTATTTTCAGTGAGTGAATTAATAATTCTCCATGTCCTTGCTAAATTTGATACCCGAATTACCCATTACCAAGTTTATCCATCTGAGAGGTACTTGCGAGTTTCCAAATCAATTGGAGTTTCATTCCGTCATAAATTCAATGAAGACACTTGTGCAGGTGGAAAAGCCGAGCTTTCCAGTCCGGAAGAGGAAAAAAAAAAAGATAAAGTAAAGGGTTGCGTTTATTTGTTTCTCTCGTAGAAGATTTGGCTTGCACTCTCCACCTCATTTCTGCATAATACTGGTTCTTCAGGTTGGATGGATGGACGCCAGACACTTGAGCACTAATGAGCCTCTCGTTTGCTCTGGAGATGGGCAAGTGTCCTGTTCAGTCTCACCTAGGCGACAACAACCATGATGAGAGGATAACACCTTGAATGGGTTTACCCTGGGGGGTAACAACCTCCGGAGGAGGTGCAGCTGCAAAAAGTGCACGGTGAAAAAAAATTCACCAAGAATTACGACGACGACGTAATCCTGAAACTGGACTGCTACGTGTGGTCGAATGATCCAATTCTTCTCCACCAATAATTCTTTCTGTAGATTTCTGATTCGTCCGAATAAATTTTTCATAATCCTCTCAATTCATCCAATTTTTATTCCTCGAATCGTCTTCAATATGAAAAAATTGTCCTCTTCCCTCAAAATATGATTTTTATTTTATAATGCAATATGATAATCAACAATACACATAAATTAAAACAATTTTAAAATGTGATTATAAAAACTAATGATTTAACATGATAATTATTTAAAACAAAATAGAAGGGAGTGGAATAAATTAACCGAAACACCGCGTGTTTATTAATATTTTTTATTAATTTCCAAGTCCGTCTCGATCTCAGGGTAGTTGGACATTTTTTTATGATCGCCGGGAATTATTTTGTATATTGGAAGAAAAGTTATCGGATGAATCGTGTGATTTATAAATTGTCAGATGATGAAAGAAGTTTGAAATCAATGAATGAATAAATCCCGCTCGAATCAGCTGCTACTTCACATCGTAATCCAATCATGTGACAATTCTTGAACTTTTCTCAGATGAAAATGAATGAGCCAGACGATTTCGACCCAAAATACGGAGGTCTGCAAATACGAGAGGTGAGTAATGACACTTCACGATATAAAAAACGAGACGATTCTGCTGGTGCAATCGATCAAGATTTGAATCGACTCTTAGCCTCAATGCTCTTTTCTCGTGGGTAACAGGATGATTGTTCCTATGTCTGGCAAATTACACCTGAAGACAGATGCGAATGGGTCAAGACAAGTCCACACTGCGAATCAGATTCTATCATTCAGTATTCAACATTACTCTTCTGCACATTTTCAAGTGTTTATCCTGGATTATTTGCTATTGGAATTATAATTATAATTCTCTGGCTGCTGTACCTTTTCCTCATACTGGGAACAGTTGCTGACAACTTGTACGTCAAATATTTTTTTTCTTCAATTTCAATTTGCGAAAAAATTTTCATCAAATAAATTTTAACTTAACTTAACAATTATCCGCGAATTGTTTCCGCAAGTTTTCACGTACTTTTGGGTGATTGCTACAGAATTCTTCTCCTGTTCATATTTATTAAGCAACGATGCATATTATTTTACTTTGACAGCTTCTGTCCATCGCTATCGGTGATAGCGAATGTTCTGCATCTATCGGAAAACATAGCGGGTGTTACGATTTTGGCATTTGGAAATGGAGCACCGGATATATTTACATCCCTGGTGGCTAGTGATAAAGAGATGGTGATCATATTCACGGAGTTGATTGGAGCTGGAATTTTTGTTACTGCTATTATTGCTGGATCTGTTGCTGTCGTATCACCATTTGCTGTGTTGCCGAAGCCATTCGTCAGAGACTGCCTATTTTATATCGTCGCTGTATGCTGGATCTCGTACATCAGTTACGACGAGATGGTCCATCTCTGGGAGGCACTCAGTTGAGTTGGCAGTTTCATAAAAATTAAATTATTCTATTTTATCCGCCATAACCGGAAATATTCCGAGAATTCCCAAGAAATATTTCAAACATAATCATTTAAAAAATCAAAATAAAGAGCTTTCATAAAAAAAATAATATTTTAATGACATCCTCCATTCCCTCGTCTAGACGATCTCCTTCACAATGTTTTCATGCATGTAAAATTTTAACGAGTTTCCCAGTTTAATCACCCAATGACGATTCCGCACGCATCACAGCATTAATTAGTTTCCAGTTAAAACGTCAATCTGAAACTTGGCACTGAAAACCGAGTGTAATTCTGCCACGTAATAATGATTACGATCCAAAGATTACGATCATGCTATTTAATATTCTCCCCGAAGCTTAAATTGTATTAAACGCGTGTCCATCCCTCACCCATTACCCCACCAACCCACCCTCAAACCAAAAAATCGAGAAAGTAAAAAATAGATAAATTCCATTGCAGGTTTTGTGGTGATTTACATCCTATTCATAGCGACGGTGGTTGGTATGCAGTACTACGACAATCGTGAGGAAAAGCGAAAAGGTAAAGCGATGTAACAATTCCAAAAAAGAATAATTACCACCCACCGCACATACCACATCAATTGAAAGTCCCGGTGATTCACAATTTGGTTTAAATTGCTGGGTTAAAGCGAAAATTCCGGGCTTACAAGATCCCGAAATGCTGAAAACATTTCTGGCCTACGAGGAAACGGATAGCGATATGCACCTGCCGATGAGGTCAACCGCATTTAGCGTCAAAGCCAAATTGGGTGAAAATCAATTAATAAATTCCACTGTGCAACTACTGAAACTCAAACACCGATATTATTAACATTCTGATGAAATCGACTAAACCTCGTGAAACAGATGTGGCTATAGCTGCAGAAATGGCGAATGCTAGGGCCAGAGGTGAATCCATTGGGATCGATAATCGTAGGAGTTCCAGTGGTTCATCCCGATCCCACCGTCCCGTGGGTCTCTTCCATGAATTTCTCTACGACTTGAATCCCATCAACCTTCATGATTGGCAAAAGTCAAGTATTCTCGTACGCTCCCTTCTGGTATTACGTGCACCAGCAATGATTGTTCTTCAGCTCCTAGTGCCTGTGGTCAACGAGACAGCTATCAATCACGGATGGTCAAAGTTACTCAATTCCCTTCAACTCTGTACTGCCCCTATTGCTGTGCTCTTCAAATTAAATCGTTGAGTATACAATCGTCTGTAAAATGTAGATTAACAATTGTCCTAATTCACGATCTTCTACTAGTTTGGAGAAACACTATTGGTCCCGTGCCAGTAGCTCTCGTTTTCCTTGTTCTCGGTGCTATTTTTGGAGTTGCTATTTTTATTATGACGGGAAGAGATAAACCCAAGTATCATAATGTGAGTAATTCAGTTTTTATTTTATATTTACTGATTCTCGGGTGCGTCACTCCACGCGTACACAAAGGGGTAAAAATTGTTCCATTCATGATTTTAAATATTTTTCTACGTCTAAGCAAACATAAATAAATAAATGAAGTAGTCGATGCCGTTTGAATAAAAGCATGCCCATATTACCCCACATAATTTTTAGCGAGTATTTTTTTAATTTAATTAGATTAAACGAATAAATTCAGTGGACATTCCTCCAAAATTTTGGCGTTTATATAATCTCTGAATAGTTGTCCCTCTGATTAACAATTTCCAGGCATTCGCATTTCTGGGGTTTATCAGTGCAATGCTGGTGGTGTACGTAGTTGCCAATGAAGTAATGGCGGTATTGCAGTGTGTTGGTTTTGCAAGTGGAATATCAGATGCCATGCTGGGAATAACATTACTCGCCTGGGGTAACAGCGTAGGGGGTAAGTGCATCCTCAGCCCAGACAGAACAAAAAAACAAGTAGGTCATGAAGTTATTACAGGCTTGTTACACTTTTTGCTATTCCATTAGTAATTCGCCTCACTCTAAACGGATTTTAATCCACACATTATTCTCCAACCCGTAACAAGAATCCAACTCTGAAAAAAAAACTGATCATTATGGAATCATTTAATTCCCCGAATAACCGAATAGCTGTAAAAATTTCGAGTAATGTCAAACGATTAACGAATAATGTGGAGTAAATAACGGATTTAATGGGAATAACGGAAGCGCGAATTCCTGGATTAATTGCAAAGTCACACATGAAAAAGAGTTTATCTCAGGGACATCTCCTGCGACAACACGAGATTATCACGCTGACTGATCGCTTTGATCACGGGTGTGCAAGCTGTGAGTAAATTCAAGCCCTCGAGTACTTTCCTTTTTAGATCTCATCTCAAACGTGGCAATAGCACGTCGAGGCTTTCCACGCATGGGATATTCCGCCTGCTTCGGTGGTCCACTCTTCAATACCCTTTTAGGACTGGGTCTCACATGGACAGTCTCCACCATCAGCAAATCCGATTATCGTACAAAAATCCGAACTAGCGATATGATGCCTGGATGCCTGGCCTTTCTCCTGTGCACATTAGTCAGCTCTCTCATCTACCTCAACACCGTTGGCTTCAGGGCAAGAAAATCCTACGGTTTCCTCCTGTACTCCATCTACTTCGTCTTCATGCTCGTCAACTTTCTCAGCGAGATACACTATATCCATCCTCTTGGTACGGATCATCGGGAGGATTAAAGGCCTCCATCTCCACCGGTGCGTATTGGAAAATCCATCAGGTAATTAAAATGGCTTCAAACAGAGTCTGGGGATTATTCTCTCGAATAAGAGAGTTACTGAGACTTTGAGGTTTATTTATTCCTCCGTCTGTTTGGGGTGGGCTTTCAGGAGCAGTCCACTTAGTGCCGAATTCATTATTGTACGGATGGAGGGGAAATAAAATCCTCATGGCTCTTGCCTTTTACTTCTTTTTCTGGTTTCTTTGGTCGTGTCTGAGGCTGATGGCGATTTTTCCCTTGTTTTATTCAACCTCCATTCTGTCACTCCATGTTTGCCCGTGATTTTTTCTTCAAGATCTTATGCATTATTTATCACCTATGGGAAAACTTGCGGGCACCAGTTGACGAGTACTTGATTATTTTTATTGACACTGGTGCACATCCTGCGCCTTTATTTATTAATAATAAATAATTAATTACGAAAAATTCTAATGGCAGTGGAAAAGGATGGAGATGTCGGGGAAGTGACGGCGAAAAATTGTCACGAAAATTTTTTCACGAGCACTTTGTAGCACGTTATTACAGTTGTGTAATTATAATGGCTGTACAGATGAAAAATTGTCAGATAAAACCACTGGAAAAGTTTTAATAACCTTCCACCCCATTGTCGACAATCTCGAGTACACGTGACAAATGTCCAGTGTTTCCACATTGTAACATTTTTTCCCCACCTTTCCGCGAAACACTGATATTGAATGGAATGTATTTTGTTTTTACCACTGGCTCGTTTGAATTAATCTGCCAGGGGGATGATTGCATACCTGTTATGAGGTAAAACGGTTTATAAAAATCCGTAATCCCCCCCATTTTTTTTTTTCGCTCACTCGTGTGGAACGAGTGCGCGTAAATGGTTTAACGACGCTAGTGAAAAAATTGCGGCTTTTCCCATTTCTTTCTCGATAAAATCGATATTTCGTCGTAATTGGAAATGGGAATTTCACGGGTGGATAAAAAATTGCTGGACGATGAGTTGCGAATGAAGTTGAGTACAATTGATTTTGGGAGTCATTGTCTGCATTTCTCTCGACAAAAGGTAAGGAGCAGGAATATCAATACTTTCCTCATTTATTCCCTCGGTTATTGCCGGGGTATTGTTCCAGCGCTTTCACTGCTATCCTTTTACTCTCGTGTACTTTCGTGGTACATTGTCTGGTGGAAAGTTTAATTCTCGAACTGTCCGGGTGGAGATCGACGGAGGGTGCAAGAAACAAAGACTACCCTCAAGGGTCCACCAAGGTTTCACGACATTTCCCCTTCGTTTCAGCATTCATATGAAATCTCGTGATAATTTGTGCATTAATTCGCCATTAATTTTATAGAAATTCTGCAAAAAGCTACGCAACACACGAATAGACAATTGTCGCACGAGATATTTATTCTTCGTTACTTTTATTATTCCTGTAAACTAATAAAAAAGGGGAATTGAAATTGAGTTCATCGGAGATAAAATTCTTGAGCATGTGGATCGATTGTTAATCCATAAATCGTTCTCCAGACCTGTGACGATTTTTTAAATATTTATTTAATGATCCATCACGCTGGAAACTGAACTCGTTGATGAGTACTCCGCACCTGTTGCACGACGAGACAACTAGATCGGATTTGACGTGAAAAAGTGATTTCCACTTGAAATAATTGATGTGTTTTCCTGGTGCCGCGTTCATTTTTCCCTGAAAAGCTCATTCCGTGGATTGAGGAGACAGTTGGGAGGAGTAAATTATATAGAAGTCGGAATAAAAGTAGATACGAAGCGAAATAGTTCCGCATCGCTTGGCGTGTCCAAAAAGTGGCTTTCCCGCACTTGTCGCGAAAAAAAAAAACCCTATACTCGAATTTTCGTTATATTTCCGGACACGATAGTTCATTTGAAAGGATAAACACCCTTAAATCAGGAAAATACTTTTCCTGACGTTTCCTTTACCTCACGACGTAAATTACTGAGGAGAGGTGTATAATGGGATCGTGCTGTACGGAAAAATAATATTTCCTCACGTGTGCGGAGTGGAATTACAACCCTTTAATGCCGCTAGGTGTGTAATCCTCACACTCACCAAACAGTAATTTTTTCATAATGTACTATTTTTCTCAACGCAGAGGGGAATGTAGATCAATAAATTTTCAGGAGAGATGAACATTACTCGGTAATCGAGCAAAGCAGTCACTGAGGCTGCACTGAATTACTGGACACTCGAGTATCCAACACGAGGGTCTCTTATAGGCGATTGAGAATTCTCGGTGTAGGGGACGTGCCAAGGCATTTCTCTTTGAGGCTCGTCGAGCGTGTGGGGTGCACGTGGGGATATTACTCAGCTGAGGATTAATAACCTGGGGGTATTAAAGGAGATACTTCTTTCCTGCGAAGAGGGGATTCCCCAGCATTCCTACAAATAGAGAAATTAGAGACAGGATGGATTTCGCTCTATGAGCGAGTTTAATCTGCCTGGAAGAAGGGGAAGACAGAGTGGAGCTTAACAAATATCATTTGAGGCGATTGCTGGAAGAATTCTGGGACTAACTGTACTTTTTGGATTTATCCATCTTTCTAAAATATTTAATAATTTATTGCAACCACTTTCGCTATTTGTTTTATTACCAGGGGAATAATCGAAATTTTAAGGCTCGTGAAAATAGAAAGTGGATTGCAAATTATTGAAAAAGAAATTTTGAAAAATTCTCCATCAGGAAAACGTCAGGGAGAATAATTCTGTTGCAGTTCCACGAATTTTCCGGAGAAAATTCAGTTCTGGGAAGTTGTTTGTGACGTATATTGACACGAGGTGTATTATTCCTGGTGAAATTCCGAATGACTGATATGAACATGACCCCTGGCTTTAACAACTTCGTGCAAGTAATATCTGAGCAGTGATTATATGCATCTAAAGCCTCGTAATGTCCCAGGGGTGAGGGGGTTCATCAAATTTTATCTCCATCGTGGCACTGATAACAAAATGACGTGTTTTGGCTGGTGCTAGGAGAGTTCTTCTCTTCACAAAGTTTATGAGTGAGACAGTACTCACCTTTGTGAATAGCATTGTCTTATACAACGCAGCCCCGGGGGTAATTCGAAGTAATGATAACGTCAGACATGAATTTCAAGCAGTTGTGTCCTGAAATTCACGCGCTTTATTTATTATTACATTAATAGAATTCGCTTGATGTTATGCAAAAAATAAAGTTGAAGCCGTTCGATAATTTCTTATGGAATTACTGGAATACAAGGGATTCCATTGAATTGATTAAATGAATCCTTTGGTAACTGTTAACGAATGTTCAATTTTTTATAATTAAATTGCGCTATTTGGTAGCCGTTAACGAATCTCGTTATCAACCGAATTTTTCTATCAGTGTAGCAGACGCATGCCAGAGCCGTAACAAATTGACATGTCATTTCGACTTGTCAATCGATATTTCAAGTGAAACTCGCTCCGTAGGCAACGCCTCGAAAATCCAGCCGAATTGGGCTGCCATGAAATGTGGGAAAATTCGGTAGTAGTCAGCAAAAAATGTATTATCAGGGCTGTGGAGATTATATTCATAAGGCCATCGCGCGGGTGAACCTATGTATCATCAGAAATTGTTGTGTCAATGTTGTTCAAGCTTCCACCCAGTGCTTTACCCGTAACGAGACTAGCATATCTTCGTGGCATGTCGGTATTATATTCCATATGCTGGATTGATGGCAAAATCGCAGCCATCCAATCAATAAAATTAATTGACGGAAAGTAAAAAAAAAAGCAAACAAAAAAAAAAACCAAAAAAAAGGAAAAAAAACAAAAAAAGCAAGGAGGCACTGAAAGAAAAAAAAAAAAAAAAAATGAAAAAAAAGCAAGCAAAGAAAAAAAAAAAGCAAGGAAGCACTCAAAGAAAAAAAAAAATAAATAATGAAAAAAAAACAAGCAAACAAAAAAAAAAAGCAAGGAGGCACTCAAAAAAAAAAAAAAAAAAGAAACAAAAAAAAAAAAGAGGTATTCACTGAAATTTGAAAATTCGAAATTTCCAAAAAAAATCGAGGAGATATTCATTGAAATGTGAAAATTCAAAATTTTCGGAAAAGTATCAGGGGAACATGAAAAGCGCGGGGGTATTCACTGAAATGAAAATACATAATTTATTCATATAAATACATAATAATCTCTTCCATAAAAAAAATTAATTCTATGCATCCGAAATTAATTCGATATATAACATATTTGATATTTCGTTCTCTCGAGTGATATGATGACCTGAAGTCAATAAATATTTTGAAAAAATAAATAAATTTTTGAATGTACGTATGAGTCTTTAGAAATCCTTCGGTGGGTCCTCTCTCTTGCGTAATTCTTCTGACTAGTTTTAGGTGTACGCAAGTTTCGACAGTTGGGGCGGAGAGAGAACTTTGAGAAACGGCCATTTTCGACTAGACGCTGACTACAGTACTATTGTATACGAAGACGGTGGGAGGATGAGAGAACGAGGGATTTTCTCCTCCGATTTTCTACCTCCTTTATACCGACGACTACATACAGACATAGATGGGTTACAGTTGGATGCTCGGTAAGGATAAGTGCGGCAATCAGTCCGACGTTACCACATTCTTCCCTCTCCCGCCATATTCTTATGCTCCCACCAACAAAATGGCGCTCAGCTCGAAGGCATTTCAATGCGTAATGCCACGATCAAACTTGAGTGCATGAGGAAACCGGATGTCTGGGCGCCAGACGTACCGCCAAATAATCTCTATCGCTCACTGACTTCAAACGAGCAGATTCGCGCATTAAGTCTTTAAGTATTTTTATTTTCCCCTTTTTTGTCCACCAGTCAATACGAGAAAATCGAATTGAGGAAAATTATCCAAGATTTTTGTAGGTAAAGATAAAGTTCGTTAACAAAACAATTTAATTGAGTAAAAATTCGTTTTATTGTTTTTTTAAGAATTGATTTGGAAACGAATTCATGGGATCAATTGTTTGCAGAATATCTCAGTGTCGTGATGACTGATGAATTAATTTAATTGAATGCTCCAGCGTGCAATTAATTCCAAATATTGTGAAAATACATGCTCAGAAGAATTATAATAATTCCCTCAGAGAAAGGGTAGCTCGATCCGGGGAAATGTCGACCCTCACTTTTCGTTTAATTCTCGGTGGAGAGGATTGACCCTCAGGGGATACCTCTGTTTTCAATGCCAGTCTAATTAGGTAGCCTTTAAGACTGGAGAATTAATGAGGCAGTC